TAGAGTCCCAGCTATCCCCAGGTGTCCCCACCTGTCCCCAGTTGTCCCCAGGTGTCCCCAGCTTCCCCAGCTGTCCCCACATGTCCCCAGGTGTCCCCAGCTGTCCCCAAGTGTCCCCAGCTATCCCCAGGTGTCCCCAGCTGTCCCCACCTGTCCCCAGGTGTCCCCAACTGTCCCCAGGTGTGTTCAGGTGTCCCCACCTGTCCCAGGTGTCCCCTCCTGTCCCCAGCTGTCCCCAGCTATCCCCAGCTGTCCCCACCTGTCCCCACCTGTCCCACCTATCCCCACCTGTCCCCAGGTGTCCCCAGGTGTCCCCCCCTCTCACCTCCATCTCCGCAGCGCCTCCACCAGGCGGGCGTAGCCCTGGGCGGCCGCCAGGTGCAGCAGGGTCATCCCTCGGAAGGTGGCCCCGTGGGCCAGCGCCGACGGCCCCGGGGACGCCCCCGGCCAGCCCGGCCGCGCCATCAGCGCCTCACAGACCGACACCACCCGCGCCTCGAACGACGAGCACGGCCCCTGAGCACGAGTGGGGGGAAAGGGGGCACGTCAGGGGGCAGCGGGGGCACGGGGAGGAGTGGTAAAGGGGGCATGGGGAGGGTGGGGAGCGGAGGCAGGGGAGGGTGGTGGAGGGGCAGGGGAGGGGGTGGTGGAGGGCACAGGGGAGGGTGGTGGAGGGAGCACGAGGGAGGAGTGGGAGCAGGGGCCACGGGGGAGGAGGTGAGGCAGGGGGCACTGAGGAGGAGTGTAAGGGGGCACAGGGAGGATGATGATAGAGGGGGCAGAAGGAGGAGGTGGTAGTAGGGGGCACAGGGAGGAGGTGGGGCAGGGGCACTGGGAGGATGTGGTAGGGGGCACGGGGAGAGGAGTGAGGGCAGGGAGGCACCAAGGAGGGTGGTGGAGGGGCACGGGGAGAGGTGGTGGAGGGGGCACAGGGAGGGTGGTGGAGAGGTACAGGGAGGGTGGTGGAGGGCACGGGGAGGGGTGAGTGGAGGGGGCACGAGGAGGGAGTGGTAGAGGGGGCACGGGAGGAGGTGAGTAGAGGGGCGTGGGAAGGGACATAGGGGTGGGGCAGGGCTGTTAGGGACATCGGGAGGGCCTGGGGACATCACGTGTGTGAGGGCAGTGGGGGCCGCAGGAAGGGTGGTGGAGGAGCGCAAGGGAGGGTGGTAGAGGGCAGGAAGGTGGTGGAGGGCCTGGGGAGGGTGGTAGAGGGTACAGGGAGGGTAGTGGGGGTGCCAGGGAGGGGGTGGTGGAGGGGCATGGGAGGAGGTGGGGCAGAGACTGGGAGGAGTGGTAGGGGGGCACAGGAGGGTGGTGGAGGCCTGGGAGGAGTGAGGCAGGGGGCTGGGAAGGAGGAGTGGTGGAGGGGCACAGGGAGGTGGTAGAGGGCACAAGGAGGAGGGGGTGGTGGAGAGGGAGCATGGGGAGGGTGGTGGAGGCACAGGAGGAGGGGTGGGGGCAGGGGCTGGGGGAGGGTGGTGGAGGGTGCAGGGAGGGGTGGGGCAGGGGGCACAGGAGGGGGTGGTAGGGGGGCACGGGGAGGGTGGTGGGGAGCTGGGGAGGGTGGGGCAGAGGCACAGGGGAGGGTGGTGGAGGGGCACTGGGAAGGGTGGGGCAGGGCACAGGGAGGGTGGTGGGAGGGGGCTACAGGGAGGGTGGTAAGAGGGGGCACAGGGAGGGTGGTAGAGGGGCACTGGGAGAGGGTGGTAGAGGGGGGCATCGGGAGGGTGGGGCAGAGAGCTAGGGAGGGTGGTAGGTAGAGGGGGCCACGGGGAGAGAGTGGTGGAGGGGCGTGGGAAGGTGGTAGAGGGGCCACGGGGAGAGGTGGTGGAGGGGTACTGGGAGGGTGGTGGAGGGCACAGGAGGAGGTGGGGCAGGGGCAGCCGGGGAGGGGTGGTGGAGGGACACGGGGAGAGGTGGGGCAGAGGCGCAGGGAGGGGTGGTGGAGGGCGCTGGGGAGGGTGGTGGAGGAGGAATGGGGGAGGGTGGTAGGGGTGGCTCAGGGAGGTTGGGGCAGGGGCATGGGGAGGAGTGGGGCAGGGCACTGGGGAGGGGTGGTGGAGGGGACTGAGGGAGGGTGGTAGAGGGGGCATGGGGGAGGGTGGTGGAGGGGGCATGGGACAGGTGGTAGAGGGCATGGAGGAGGGTGGCAGAGGGGGCACAGGGAGGGTGGTGGAGGGGCACAGGGAGGAGGTGGGGCAGAGGCCGAGGAAGGTGGGGCAGGGCACTGGGGAGGTGGTAGAGAGGGCACAAGGGAGGGTGGTGGAGGGGGCTAGGAGAGGTGGTAGAGGTGTGGGGAGGGTGGTAGAGGGGGCACGGGGAGGGTGGTGGAGGGGGCATGGGGAGGGTGGTAGAGGGGTGTGGGGAGGGTGGTGGAGGGGGCATGGGAGAGGGTGGTGGAGGGGGCAGAGGAAGGGTGGTAAGAGGGAGACACGAGGAAGGGTGGGGCAGAGGCACAGGGGAGGGTGGTGGAGAGGGCACAGGAGGAGGTGGGAGCAGGGAGCACGGGAGGGTGGTAGGGGGACAGAAGGAGGAGTGGTGGGGGCGTGGGGAGGTGGTGGAGAGGGAGCCTACAGGGGAGAGTGGGAGCAGGGGCACAGGGAGGGTTTTGGAGGAGGCACGGGGAGGGTGGTAGAGGGCATGGGGAGGGGAGTAGGGGGCACGGGAGGGTGGTGGAGGGCATGGGGGAAGGTGGTGGAGGGCACGAGGGAGGAGTGGGGCAGGGGACATGGGGAGGGTGGGGCAGGGGGCACTGAGGGAGGGGTGGTGGAGGGCACAGGGAGGGTGGGGCAGGGGGCACAGGGAAAGGTGGTGGAGAGGCACGGGGAGGGTGGTAGAGGGGCACGGGAGGGTGGTGGAGGGCACAGGGAGGGGTGGTGGAGGGAGCCTGGGGAGAGGTGGGGCAGGGGGCACGGGGAGGAGGTGGTAGTGGAGGCACAGGGGAGGAGTGGTGAGAGGAGGCCACAGGGGAGGGTGGTGGAGGGGGCACTGGGGAGGGTGGTGGAGGGCACGGGGAGGGGTGAGGCAGGGGCATGGAGGAGGGTGGTAGAGGGGCACAGGAGGGTGTGGTGGAGGGGCACGAGGAGGGTGGTGGAGGGGGCACGGGGAGGGTGGTGGAGAGGTGTGGGGGAGGGTGGTAGAGGGGCATGGGGAGGGTGGGGCAGGGGCACAGGGAGGGTGGGGCAGGGGGCACGGGGAGGGTGGTAGAGGGCACAGGGAAGGTGGTAGAGGGGCACAAGGAGGGGTGGTAGAGGGGCACGGGGAGGGTGAGTGGAGGGCACAGGGAGGGTGGTGGAGGGGGTACAAGGAGGGTGGTAGAGGGGAGCACAGGGAGGGTGGTAGAGGGGGCATGGGGAGGGTGGTAGAGGGGGCTGGGGAGGGTGGTAGAGAGGTTTGGGGATGCCAGGGGACATCCAGGTCACTAAGGGATGTATGAAGACGTCACAGAAATCAAGGGATGCTTGGGACACAAACATGGAGGGGACACCAGGGGACACAAGGGGACCCTAAGGGTCTTTAGGGGGCCCAGGAGAGACCCCAAGTGTTGGGGAGGGTCTCAGGGTCTTCAGGGGTCCAGGAGAGACCCCAGGTGTTGGGAGGAGGCCTCACCTGCTCCGGGGGTTCAGAGGGGTCCCATGTGGAGGAGGAGGGCCGGGGGCAGGGCCCCAGGCAGCGTCTCCAGCTGCTCCAGGCGCTCCAGGATGGACAGACGGAACTGGGCCTCTGGTTGGGAGGTGAGGAGAGGGTCAGAGTTAAGGAGGAGAACACAGAGCCCCCCCCAACCTTTTAAACACCCCACACACCTCCCCCAGCCCCAGATGGAGTCACCCCCTCCCCAATAGCCCCAATCCAGGGGGAACCCAGGTGGAACCCAGGTGGAACCCAGGTGGAATCCAGGTGGAATCCAGGTGGAATCCAGGTGGAACCCAGGTGGAACCCAGGTGGAATCCAGGTGGAATCCAGGTGGAATCCAGGTGGAACCCAGGTGGAACCCAGGTGGAATCCAGGTGGAATCCAGGTGGAATCCAGGTGGAACCCAGGTGGAACCCAGGTGGAACCCAGGGGGAACCCAGGTGGAACCCAGGTGGAACCCAGGTGGAATCCAGGTGGAATCAGGTGGAATCAGGTGGAACCCAGGTGGAACCCAGGTAGAATCAGGGGAACAGGTGGAACCCAGGTGGAATCCAGGTGGAACCCAGGTGGAATCCAGGTGGAATCCAGGTGTTCCCTCCCTCACCTCCCCCATCCTGGGGGGCATCTTTTGGTGAGAGGGTGGGGGGTTGGGGGTTGTCCCCACTCACCATCCAGCGCCAGCCAGTCCAGCTGTGCCCCGGGGGGGCCCCGCAGAGCCCCCCGTGCCCGGTACTCGAAGGGGGCGGCGGCCGAGAGCAGCCGGGGGGGACACGCCACGCGCAGGGCGGCCACGCCGGCCTCGTGGGCTGCAAGAGTTGGGGGGCAAAAAGGGGGGGTTTCAGCCACAGGAGGGGTCCCAGTGGGTGTTTGTGTCCCCCCCATCACCCCTCAGGGACACTCACGGGGGCAGTAGCAGCGCAGGACGCCCGGCTGGACCAGCGCGGCCGGGACCGAGGTGCGGTCGAAGAGGCAGGAGTAGGAACCGCCGGGGTCCCCCCAGGGCCCCGTGATCAGCACCTTCACCCCACCCTGGGGGGGTTTAAGAAGTGGGGGGTGGGAACACTGGGGATGTGAGAGGGGAAGGGGAAGGGGAAGGGGGTGGTGACACCCCTCGAGCGCTCACCTCGGGTACGACCACTCCGGGAGAAGTCGGTGATGGCCACGGCGGCGGGGTCGGCGGCGGGGCGGCGGCGAAGGGGAGGGCAGGGGGCGCAGGGGGCTCGCGGGGCGGGGAGGACCCCGCGGGGGTTTAGAGGCACCCCAACGTCGTGGTCCCTCCCCCGCCACCACCAGCAGCTCGCGAGGGCAGGGGGAAAGGGTGCTGGGGCGGGGTGGGCTCGCAAGGGGGTCCTGGGGGGCCGCCCCACGCTTTGATTCCTCTTCCTCCTCTTCCTCCTCCTCCTCCTCTTCATCATCATCATCCTCCTTAGCCCCCCAAGTTGTAGGGGCGGAGGGGGCGCGCCCGGGGTGCCTCGGCCTCGCAGCCGTGAGGTCTGCCCGCGGCGGGGGCTGTTGAGGAAGCAGTCGGGGTCGAAGGCGGCGGGCGGGGCGGGCAGGGCGGGGCAGGTGCCCTCGGGGGTCACCAGGTGCTGGCTGGGGGTCAAACCCAGCGGCTGCTCCGGCCCCCCCGGCGCCGCCGCCCCCCCGAGGCCGCTCACCACCAGCATGGGCAGCCCCCTCCCGACGTGGGTGGGAAAAGGGGGGACCCTCGGGGGTCCTCCCAGCTCTGGGGAGGGTTGGGTGGTGTCCGGGGAGGAGGGGGAGGGTTTGGGGCCGTCGCCCCCACGCTCCACCTTGGGGGAGATGATGCGGTGCTTGGTGCTGCCGCACTTGTGGCCGGGGGTGCCTGTGGGGGGACAATTGGAGAGGGGGGACATGTTAGGGGGACAGGGAGAGTTTGGACAGGCCCAGGGGATTTGGGGGTCCCAAAGGGGAGTTTAGGGGGATTTAGGGGTGTTTAGGGGGGAATTTTGGGGTGTCTCAATGAGATTCAGGGAGTCCCAAGGTGGGAGGGGGTCCCAATGGGTTCGGGAGTCCCAATGGGTTCAGGGGGGTCCCATGGGTTCGAGGGTCCCAAGGGGTTCAGGGCAGTCCCGTGGACGTCCAAGGGAAAGTTCAGGGTGCCAGGGGGAGTTCTGGGGGGAATTTTGGGGTGTCCCAATGAGATTCAGGGGGTCCCAAGGTGGGGGGTCCCAAGGGGTTCAGGGCAGCCCCGTGGATGTCCAAGGGAAGGTTCAGGGTGCCAGGGGAGTTCTGGAGGAATTTGGGGTGTTTAGGGGGAATTTTGGGGTGTCCCAATGAGATTCAGGGTCCCAAGGTGGAGGAGGTCCCAATGGGTTCAGGGGGTCCCAATGGGTTCAGAGGGGTCCCAAGGGGGTTCAGGGCAGTCCATGGACGTCCAAGGGAAGAGTTCAGGAGTGCCAGGGGAGTTCTGGGGAGATTTTGGGGTGTCCCAATGAGATTCAGGGTCCCAAGGTGGGAGGGGGTCCCAATGGGTTCAGGGGGTCCCAAGGAGTTCAGGGCAGTCCCGTGGGCGTCCAAGGGAAGGTTCAGGGTGCCAGGGGAGTTCTGGGGGAATTTTGGGGTGTTTAGGGAGATTTAGGGGTGTCCCAATGAGATTCAGGGGTCCCAAGGTGGGAGGGGTCCCAATGGGTTCAGGGGGTCCTAAGGGTTCAGGAGCAGTCCAGTGGACGTCCAAGGGAAGGTTCAGGTGCCAGGGAGTTCTGGGGGAATTTTGGGGTGTCTCAATGAGATTCAGGGGTCCCAATAGGTTCGGAGGTCCCAAGGGGTTCAGGGCAGCCCGTGGATGTCAAGGGAAGGTTCAGGGTGCCAGGGGAGTTCTGGGGAATTTTGGGTGTTCAGGGGAATTTTGGGGTGTCCCAGTGAGATTCAGGGGTCCCAAGGTGGGAGGTCCCAAGGGGTTCAGGGGAGTCCCAAGGGGTTCGGGAGATCCAAGGGTTCAGGGCAGTCCCATGGACATCAAGGGAAGGTTCAGGAGTGCCAGGGGAGTTCTGGAAATTTTGGGAGTGTTTAGGGAGATTGCAGGGGTGTCCCAATGAGATTCAGGGGTCCCAAGGTGGGAGGGATCCCAATGGGTTCAGGGGGATGTCCCAAGGGGGTTCAGGGGCAGTCCGTGGCAGTGAGGGTGCCCAGGGGTGGTTGAGGGTTCCCAGGGGTGCCCACGGGTGGTTAGAGGTGCCCAGGGGCGGTTGAGGAGTTCCAGGGTGGTTGGGGGTGCCTGGGTGGTTGCAGGGGTGCCCAGGGGCGGTTGGGGAGTTCCAGGAGTGGATTAGGGTGCCCAGGTGGTTAGGGGTGCCCAGTGGTGGTTGGGGGTGCCCAGGGTGAGGTGAGGGGTTCCCAGGGGTGGGTGGGGGGTTCCCAGGGGTGGGTGAGGGTGCCCAGGGTGGTTGGGGTGCCCAGGGGCAGTTAGGGGGGCCCAGGGGCGGTTGGAGGTGCCCAGGGTGGTCAGGAATGCCCAGGGTGGGTGGGGGTGCCCAGGGGTGGTCAGGAATGCCCAGGGGTGGGTGGGGGTGCCCAGGGGTGGGTGGGGGTGCCCAGGGGTGGTCAGGAATGCCCAAGGGTGGGTGGGGGTGCCCAGGGTGGGTGGGGAGTTCCCAGGGGCGGTTAGGGGTGCCCAGGGGGTGGATGGAGGTGCCCAGGGATGGATTGAGGGTTGCCCAGGGTGGTTAGGGGTGCCCAGGGGCAGTTGGGGTTGCCCAGGAGGGTGGTTGGGGGTGCCCAGGGGTGGTCAGGGGTGCCCAGGGTGAGTGGGAGTTCCCAGGGGGTGGTCAGGAATGCCCAGAGGTGGTCAGGGGTGCCCAGGGTGGGGTGGAGGGTGCCCAGGGGGTTCAGGGGTGCCCAGGGGTGGTTTGGGGGTGCCCAGGGGTGTCAGGAGGTGCCCAGGGACGGTTGGGAGTGCCCAGGGGCAGTTAGGGTTGCCCAGGGGTGCCCAGGGTGGTTAGGGATGCCCAGGGGTGGTTTAGGGGGTGCCCAGGGGCGGTTGGGGGTCTCACCCAGCCCCAGCGCAGAGGCAGGCGTGGGTGCGGGGGTGGCCGGCTCTGGTGCCGCTCAGGACGTGCTGAACCAGCTGCTCCAGGGACAGCCCGGGTGGCCCCCATTGCCACAGCCCACTTCACCCCAGTGGACTGGGGGAGAAGGGGCAAAATCCATCAGGAAAGCAGATATAGAGGGGTGTTCCCCTACCACACCCCCTGCCACCCCAACTTCATCCCTGGGCTAAAATCCCTCAATAAAAGAGCTGTGGGGTGTCCTCCCCCAGCCCTGCTTCACCCTGTGGACTGAGGGAGAAAGGGGCAAAATCCATCAGGAAAGCAGATATAGAAGTGTTCCCCTCTACCCCACCCCAAATAGCCACACCCTTGCCACCCCAATTTCATCCCTGGGTAAAATCCCTCAATCAAAAGAGTTGTGGGGTGTCACTCCCCCAGCCCTAATTCACTCTGTGGACTGAGGGAGAAGAGGGGGCAAAATCCCTCAGGAAGAAGCTAGAATATAGGGGTGTTCCCATCCACCCACCCAAATACCACATCTCCCCACTGCCAACTTCATCCCTGGGCTAAAATCCTCAATAAAGAGCTGTGGGGTGTCCTCCCCAGCCCCACTTCACTCCGTGGACTGAGGGAGAAGAGGGGCAAAATCCCTCAGGAAGCAGATGTGGGGGTGTTCCTACTCACCCACCCCCAAATAGCCACACCCCTCTGCCACCCCAATTTCACCCCTGGAGCTAAAATCCCTCAATAAAAGAGTTGTGGGGTGTCCTCCCCAGCCCCACTTCACCCCGTGGACTGAGGGAGAAGAGAGGGCAAAATCCTCAGGAAAGCAGATATAGGGGGGTGTTCCCCTATCCACCACCCCAAATAGCCACAACCCCCTACCACCCCAACTTCATCCCTGGGCTAAAATCCCTCAATAAAAGAGCTGTGTGGGTGTCCTCCCCAGCCCCAATTCACCCTGTGGGCTGAGGGAGAAGAGGGGGCAAAATCCCTCAGGAAAGGAGGGATTCCCTACTCACCCACCACCCCAAATAGCCACAACCCTCTGCCACCCCAACTTCATCCTGGGCTAAAATCCCTCAATAAAGAGAGCTGTGGGGTGTCCTCCCCCAGCCCCGCTTCACCCTGTGGACTGAGGGAGAAGAGGGGCAAAATCCATCAGGAAGGCAGATATAGGGGATCGTTCCCCTATAACCACACCCCCATGCCACCCCAACTTCATCCCTGGGCTAAAATCCCTCAATAAAAGAGCTGTGGGGTGTCCTCCCCAGCCCCACTTCACCCTGTGGGCTGAGGGAGAAGAGGGGCAAAATCCCTCAGGAAGGAGGGATCCCTACCCACCACCCCAAATAGCCACAACCCCCTGCCACCCCAACTTCATCCCTGGGCTAAAATCCTCAATAAAAGAGCTGTGGGGTGTCCTCCCCAGCCCCGCTTCAGCTCCGTGGGCTGAGGGAGAAGAGGGGGCAAAATCCCTCAGGAAGGTAAATGTTGGGGGATGGGGTTTCCCTACCCACCCACCCCCCAAATAGCCACAACCTCCTCCTAGGGGGTCCCAAGGAGTTCAGGGCCAGTCCGTGGGCGTCCAAGGGAAGGTTCAGGGTGCCAGGGGAGTTCTGGGGGAATTTTGGGGTGTTTAGGGAATTTAGGGGTGTCCCAATGAGATTCAGGGGTCCCAAGGTGGGAGGGTCCCAATGGGTTCAGGGGGTCCCAAGGGGGTTCAGGAGCAGTCCATTGGGCGTCAAGGGGAAGGTTCAGGGTGCCAGGGGAGTTCTGGGAGATTTTGGGGTGTCTCAATGAGATTCAGAGGGGGTCCCAATGGGTTCAGGAGTCCCAAGGGGTTCAGGGCAGCCCGTGGATGTCAAGGGAAGGTTCAGGGTGCCAGGGGAGTTCTGGGAATTTTGGGGTGTTCAGGGAATTTTGGGGTGTCCCATGAGGTTCAGGGTCCCAAGGTGGAGTTCCCAAGGGGGTTCAGGGGGAGTCCCAAGGGGTTCAGGAGGTCCCAGGGTTCAGGGCAGTCCCATGGATCATCAAGGGAAGGTTCAGGAGTGCCAGGGGAGTTCTGGGGAATTTTGGGGTGTTTAGGGGGAGTTTTGCAGGGTGTCCCAATGAGATTCAGGGGTCTCCAAGGTGGGAGGGGTCCCAATGGGTTCAGGGGGATGTCCCAAGGGGGTTCAGGGGCAGTCCCGTGGCAGTGAGGGTGCCCAGGGGTGGTTGGGGGTTCCTAGGGGTGCCCACGGGTGGTTAGAGGAGGTGCCCAGGGGCGGTTGGGGGAGTTCCGAGGAGTGGTTGGGGGTGCCCACGGGTGGTTGCAGGGGTGCCCAGGGCGGTGTGGGGAGTTCCCAGGAGTGGATTTGGGGGTGCCCACGGGTGGTTGGGGGTGCCCAGGTGGTGGTTGGGGGTGCCCAGGGCGTGGGTGAGGGGTTCCCCAGGGTGGGTGGGGGTTCCCAGGGTGGGTGAGGTGCCCAGGTGGTTGGGGTGCCCAGGGGCAGTTAGGGGGGCCCAGGGGCGGTTGGAGGTGCCCAGGGTGGTCAGGAATGCCCAGGGTGGGTTGGGGGTGCCCAGGGGTGGTCAGGAATGCCCAGGGGTGGGTGGGGGTGCCCAGGGGGTGGGTGGGGGGTGCCCAGGGGTGGTCAGGAATGCCCAGGGGTGGGTGGGGGTGCCCAGGGTGGGTGGGGGAGTTCCCAGGGGCGGTTGGGGGTGCCCAGGGGGTCGTGAGGGTGCCCAGGATGGTTGGGGTTGCCCAGGGGTGGATTTAGAGGGGGTGCCCAGGGGCAGTTGAGGGTTGCCCAGGAGGGTGGTTTTGGGGTGCCCAGGGGTGGTCAGGGGGTGCCCAGGGTGGTGGGGAGTTCCCAGGGGTGGTCAGGAATGCCCAGAGGGGTGGTCAGGGTGCCCAGGGTGGGTGGGGGGTGCCCAGGGGGTTCAGGGGTGCCCAGGGGTGGTTTAGGGGGTGCCCAGGGGTTCCAGGGAGGTGCCCAGGGACGGTTGGGGGTGCCCAGGGGGCAGTTGAGGGTTGCCCAGGGGTGCCCAGGGGTGGTTGGGAGTGCCCAGGGTGGTTTGGGGGTGCCCAGGGCGGTTTGGGGTCTCACCCAGCCCCAGCGCAGAAGGCAGGCGTGGGTGCGGGGGTGGCCGGCTCTGGTGCCGCTCAGGACGTGCTGAACCAGCTGCTCCAGGGACAGCCCGGGGGTGGCCCCCATTGCCACAGCCCCACTTCACCCCGTGGACTGAGGGGAGAAGGGGCAAAATCCATCAGGAAAGCAGATATAGGGGGGTGTTCCCCTACCCACCCACCCCCTGCCACCCCAACTTCATCCCTGGGCTAAAATCCCTCAATAAAAGAGCTGTGGGGTGTCCTCCCCCAGCCCCGCTTCACCCCGTGGACTGAGGGAGAAAAGGGGGCAAAATCCATCAGGAAAGCAGATATAGGGGGGTGTTCCCCTACTCACCCACCCCCCCAAATAGCCACACCCCCCTTGCCACCCCAATTTCATCCCTGAGGTAAAATCCCTCAATAAAAGAGTTGTGGGGTGTCCTCCCCCAGCCCCAATTCACTCCGTGGACTGAGGGAGAAGAGGGGGCAAAATCCCTCAGGAAAGCAGATATAGGGGGGTGTTCCTCTATCCACCCACCCCCCCAAATAGCCACATCTCCCCCAGCCACCCCAACTTCATCCCTGGGCTAAAATCCCTCAATAAAAGAGCTGTGGGGTGTCCTCCCCCAGCCCCAATTCACTCCGTGGACTGAGGGAGAAGAGGGGGCAAAATCCCTCAGGAAAGAGGGATCCCCTACTCACCCACCCCCACAAATAGCCACAGTCCCCTTCTACCACCCCAATTTTATCCCTGGGCTAAAATCCCTCAATAAAAGAGCTGTGGGGTGTCCTCCCCCAGCCCCAATTCACCCCGTGGGCTGAGGGAGAACAGGGGGCAAAATCTATCAGGAAAGCAGATATAGGGGGGTGTTCCCCTATCCACCCCCCCCCTGCCACCCCAACTTCATCCCTGGGCTAAAATCCCTCAATAAAAGAGCTGTGGGGTGTCCTCCCCCAGCCCCACTTCACCCCGTGGGCTGAGGGAGAAGAGGGGGTAAAATCCCTCAGGAAGGAGGGATCCCCTACCCACCCAACCCCCCAAATAGCCACACCCCCTGCCACCCCAATTTCATCCCTGAGGTAAAATCCCTCAATAAAAGAGTTGTGGGGTGTCCTCCCCAGCCCCGCTTCACCCCGTGGACTGAGGGAGAAGAGGGGGCAAAATCCCTCAGGAAGGTAAATGTTAGGGGATGGTGTGTCTCCCTACCCACCCACCCCCCAAATAGCCACAACCCCCTCCTACCACCCCAACTTCATCCCTGAGCTAAAATCCCTCAATAAAAGAGTTGTGGGGTGTCCTCCCCAGCCCCAATTCACTCTGTGGGCTGAGGGAGAAGAGGGGCAAAATCCTCAGAAAGCAGATATGGGGGTGTTCCCTACCCACCCACCCCCAAATAGCCACAACCCCTCTGCCACCCCAACTTCATCCTGGGCTAAAATCCTCAATAAAAGAACTGTGGGGTGTCCTCCCCCAGCCCCGCTTCACCATGTGGATTGAGGGAGAAGAGGGGGCAAAATCCTCAGGAAGGAGGGATCCCTACACACCCACCCCCCTAAATAACCACAACCCCCCCATGCCACCCCAACTTCACCCCTGGGCTAAAATCCCTCAATAAAAGAGCTGTGGGGTGTCCTCCCCCAGCCCCAATTCACTCTATGGGCTGGGGGAGAAGAGGGGGCAAAATCCCTCAGGAAGGAGGGATCCCTACCCACCCACCCAAATAGCCACAACCCCCCTCTGCCACCCCAACTTCATCCCTGGGCTAAAATCCCTCAATAAAAGAGCTGTGGGGTGTCCTCCCCCAGCCCCGCTTCGCTCCGTGGGCTGAGGGAGAAGAGGGGGCAAAATCCCTCAGGAAGGTAAATGTTGGGGGGGGATGGGGTTTTCCCCTACCTACCTACCCCCCCAAATAGCCACAACCCCCTCCTACCACCCCAACTTCATCCCTGGGCTAAAACCCCTCAATAAAAGAGTTGTGGGGTGTCCTCCCCCAGCCCCAATTCACTCTATGGGCTGAGGGAGAAGAGGGGGCAAAATCCATCAGGAAAGCAGATATAGGGGGGTGTTCCCCTACTCACCCACCCCCCCAAATAGCCACAACCCCCTTGCCACCCCAATTTCATCCCTGGGCTAAAATCCTCAATAAAAGAGCTGTGGGGTGTCCTCCCCCAGCCCCGCTTCACCCCATGGGCTGAGGGAGAAGAGGGGGCAAAATCCCTCAGGAAGGTAAATATTGGGGAGGGGGGATGGTGTGTTCCCCTACTCACCCACCCCCAAACCACACCCCCTGCCACCCCAATTTTATCCCTGGGCTAAAATCCCTCAATAAAAGAGCTGTGGTGTCCTCCCCAGCCCCACTTCACCCTGTGGGCTGAGGGAGAAGAGGGGCAAATCCTCAGGAAAGCAGATATGAGGGGTGTTCCCCTATCCACCCCCCCATGCCACCCCAATTTCATCCCTGGGCTAAAATCCCTCAATAAAAGAGCTGTGGGGTGTCCTCCCCCAGCCCCATAGACTGAGTAAGAAACAGAAAATAAACACGCCAAAAAAACCCAACTTTTAGGGTGTCCCTCCCTCTCTTTGCCCTCCCCCCCCCAAAAAAACCAATCCAACCAATTCACCCCTTTTTCCCCCCAAAAATTAACCAACCAGTTCATCCCTTTTTTTTTCCGCCACAAAAATTAACCAACCAATTCACCCTTTTCCCTCCAAAAATTAACCAACCAATTCAACCCTTTTTTTCCCCAAAATTAACCAACCAATTCACCCCTTTTTTCCCCACCAAAAATACCAACCAATTCACCCTTTTTCCCCCAAAAACAACCCAACCAATTCATCCCTTTTTTCCTCCCCAAAAATTAACCAACCAATTCACCCCTTTTTCCCCCAAAATTAACTAACCAATTCACCCCTTTTCCCCCAAAAACCCAACCAATTCACCCCTTTTTCTCTCCCCAAAAACCTACAACCAATTCACCCTTTCCCCCCAAAAATTAACCAACCAGTTCACCCTTTTTTCCCCAAAATTAACCAACCAATTCACCCCTTTTTTTCCCCAAAATTAACCATCCACCTTTTTCTCCCCAAAATTAACCAACCAATTCACCCTTTTTTTCCCCCAAAAAACCCCAACCAATTCACCCTTTTTTTCCCTCCCCAAAAATTAACCAACCAGTTCACCCCTTTTTCCCCCCAAAAACCCCAACCAATTCACCCTTTTTTCCCCAAAAACCCCAACCAATTCACCTTTTTTTCCCCACAAAAATTAACCAACCAGTTCACCCCTTTTTTCCCCAAAAAACCCAACCAATTCACCCTTTTTTTCCCCCCAAAAATTAACTATCACCCTTTTTCCCCAAAAATTAACCAACCAACTTCACCTTTTTTCCCAAAAATTAACTAACCAATTCACCCTCTTTTTCCCTCAAAATTAACCAACCACTCACCCTCTTTCTCCCAAAAATTAACCAACCAGTTCACCCTTTTTCCCCCCAAAATTAACCAACCAATTCACCCTTTTTTCCCCCAAAAAAAACTCCCAGCCACTTCACCCTCTTTTTTTCCCCACAAAAATTAACCAACCAATTCACCCTTTTCCCTCCCCAAAAAACCTACAACCAATTCACCCTTTTTCCCCTCCAAAACTCCCAACCAATCCACCCTTTTTCTCCAAAAAAAAACCCTAACCAATTCATCCCGTTATTTCTCTCCCAAAAAGCCCCAACCAATTCACCCCTTTTCTTTCCCAAAAAAAACCCAACCAATTCAGCTTTTTTCCCAAAAACTCCCCAACCAGTTCACTCCTTTTTTTCCCAAAAAACTCCCAACCAATTCCACCCTTTTTCCCCAAAAACCACCAACTCACCCTTTTTCCCCCAAAAAACCCAACCAATTCACCCCTTTTTTTCCCCCAAAATTAACCAACCAGTTCACCCTTTTCCCCTAAAAAAACTCCCAACCAGTTCACCCCCTTTTTCCCCCAAAAATTAACTCAACTAGTTCACCTTTTCCCTCAAAAAACCCCAACTAATTCACCCTTTTTCCCCAAAAACCCCTAACCAATTCCTACCCTTTTTCCCTCCCCAAAAATTAACCAACCAATTCACCCCTTTTTTTTCCCCCCCCCAAAAATCTTCCACCCTAAAACTCTGAGTAAGAGATGAGACCTTTTTTTGGGGCACCCCCCACAATTAAAAACCACTCACACATGGGGCGCAGCTGGGCCACCAGCTCCTCCTGGGACCACTTGAGCCACTCTCGGGGGTCGGCGGCGGCGGCGCCGGCGCAGATCGGGGGGGGGGTCCCGGCGCACAGGGAGGGGCTGCAGAGCCGGGGGGCGCAGGGGCGACCGCACTCCTCCATGGCTGGCACGTTCAGGTAGTGAACCAGCACGATATCAGGGTTCTGAGGGTAAAGAGAGGGGTTTTAGGGGGGTTTCTGTGGGTAGGGGGGTGGTCTTTGTGCCCCCCACCCTTTACCTGTAGCAACCAGTAGCAGCGGCGGTGGAAGGTGGGCACGATGGAGGAGTGGACGTAGCAGCCGTAGAGGCACTGGGGGGAGAGGGGGGGGACACACAGAGCAGAAATTTGGGGGGGGAAACAGCTCTTTTGGGTTTTTTTTGGTGTCCCCAAATGGCTAAGTTAAAGGGGTCAGAGCCTCAGTAGACTGGTTGGGGGAAAAGGGGAGTCTGGCACCTCCAAATTGGCCCCCATCGCCCCCAAACCCCCAACTCGGGGTGGGGGGGGTATCCCAATGTCCCTAAGGACGCGTAGCTGGGGGTCCCAAACCACCCAGCAGCACGAAATCTTCCCTTGAGGGCACTCACCACCCCTAAATCCCCCCTTTTTTGGGTGCCCTGACACCCTCAAACCCTTCCTTGTGCCCCCTCCCATCCTGCTCCCCACACCCAAAGCAGAGATTGTTTCACTGGGAGAGGGGGGAGCAAAGGGGAGTCTGGCACCTCCAAATTGGCCCCCATCGCCCCCAAACCCCCAACTCGGGGTGGGGGTATCCCAACATCCCTAAGGACGCGTAGCTGAGGGTCCCAACCCCCCCCAAACCACCCAGCAGCTCCAAACCTTCCCTTGAGGGCACTCATCACCCCTAAATCCCCCCTTTTTTGGGTGCCCTGACACCCTCAAAACCTTCCTTGTGCCCCCCCCCCCTGCTCCCCACACCCAAAGCAGAGATTGTTTATTTTGGGAGAGGGGGGAGCAAAGGGGAGTCTGGCACCTCCAAATTGGCCCCCATCACCCCCAAACCCCCAACTCGGGGCGGGTATCCCAACGTCCCTAAGGACGCGTAGCTGAGGGTCCCAAACCCCCCCCAAACCACCCAGCAGCACGAAACCTTCCCTTGAGGGCACTCATCACCCCTAAATCCCCCCTTTTTTGGGTGCCCTGACACCCTCAAACCCTTCCTTGTGCCCCCTCCCTCCCTGCTCCCCACACCCAAAGCAGAGATTGTTTATTTTGGGAGAGGGGAGCAAAGGGAGTCTGGCACCTCCAAATTGGCCCCCATCGCCCCAAACCCCCAACTCGGGCCGGGGGGGGTATCCCAACATCCCTAAGGACGCGTAGCTGGGGGTCCCAACCCCCCCCAAACCACCCAGCAGCCCCAAACCTTCCCTTGAGGGTACTCATCACCCCTAAATCCCCCCTTTTTTGGGTGCCCTGACACCCTCAAACCCCTCCTTGTGCCCCCTCCCCCTGCTCCCCACACCCAAAGCAGAGATTGTTTCACTGGGAGAGGGGGGAGCAAAGGGGAGTCTGGCACCTCCAAATTGGCCCCCATCACCCCCAAACCCCCAACTCGGGGGGTATCCCAACGTCCCTAAGGACGCGTAGCTGGGGGTCCCAAACCACCCAGCAGCACGAAACCTTCCCTTGAGGGCACTCATCACCCCTAAATCCCCCCTTTTTTGGGTGCCCTGACACCCTCAAACCCTTCCTTGTGCCCCCTCCCTCCCTGCTCCCCACACCCAAAGCAGAGATTGTTTATTTTGGGAGAGGGGGGAGCAAAGGGGAGTCTGGCACCTCCAAATTGGCCCCCATCACCCCCAAACCCCCAACTCGGGGGGTATCCCAATGTCCCTAAGGATGCGTAGCTGGGGGTCCCAAACCACCCAGCAGCACAAAATCTTCCCTTGAGGGCACTCAGCACCCCTAAATCCCCCCTTTTTTGGGTGCCCTGACACCCTCAAAACCTTCCTTGTGCACCCTCCCTCCCTGCTCCCCACACCCAAAGCAGAGATTGTTTCACTGGGAGGGGGGGGAGGAGCAAGTGGGCAAATTTTTGGGGGGGTAACCAGGTGTTTTCAGGGGAGGGGTGTGGTTCTGGGGGTGCCCCCCCCCGCCTCCTCCTACCTCCACCCCCTGCACCTTCAGCTTCATGTGGTCCTCACGCGTGGTCTTGCCATCCTTGCGCTTCTTCCAGCAGTAGCCGTCCTTGCGGTACTTCACCTTCTTCCGGTTGTACAGGATCACCGAGCCGTTCTGCGGCCTGCAGGGGGGCTCAGGGTAACCCCCAGGGCACCCCCGGGGCACCCACAGACCCTCCCTGGCATCCCCAGGGCACCCACAGACCCTCCATGGCACACACAGACCCTCCATGGCACCCACAGCCCCTCATGGTAGCCACAGTACCCCACAGCACCCACAGCCCCTCATGGCAGCCACAGCTCCTCCATGGCACCCCCAGCCCCTCCCTGGCACCCACAGCCCCTCTATGGCACCCACAGACCCTCATGGCATCCCCAGGGCGCTCCTCAGCATCCACAGCCACTCCATGGCATCCCCAGGGCACCCCACAGCACCCACAGCCCTTCATGGCACCCCACAGCACCCACAGCCCCTCCATGGCACCCACAGCCCCTCCATAGCACCCACAGCCCCTCATGGAACCCACAGCCACTCCATGGCACCCACAGCCCCTCAGGGCACCCCACGGCACCCACAGCCCCTCCATGGCACCCACAGCCCCTCCATGGCACCCACAGCCCCTCCATGGCACCCACAGCACCCCACAGCACCCACAGCCACTCCATGGCACCCACAGCCCTTCATGGCATCCCCAGGGCACCCCACAGCACCCCACAGGACCCACAGACCCTCCACAGCACCCACAGCACTCCACAGCACCCACAGACCCTCCATGGCACCCACAGACCCTCCATGGCACCCACAGACCCTCCATGGCACCCACAGCCCCTCCATGGCACCCACAGCCCCCACAGCCCCTCCATAGCATCCCTCAGCACCCCACAGCAACCCCCAGCCCCTCATGGCACCCACAGCACCCCCCAGCACCCACAGACCCTCCACGGCACCCACAGCCTCTCCATGGCACCCACAGCACCCCACGGCACCCCCAGCCCCTCCATGGCACCCCACAGCACCTAGCCTCCATGGCACCCCCAGCACCCTCAGAGCACCCACAGCCCCTCGTGGCACCCACAGCACCCCACAGCACCCTCAGCTCCTCCATAGCATCCCCCAGCACCCCCAGCCCCTCCATGGCACCCACAGACACTCCATGGCATCCCACGGCACCCACAGCCCCTCACGGCACCCCACGGCACCCAGAGCCACTCCATGGCAGCCACAGCCACTCCATGGCATTCCCAGGGTAACCCCATGGCACCCACAATCCCTCCATGGCACCCACAGCCCCTCATAGCACCCACAGCCCCTCCACAGCACCCACAGCCCCTCCACAGCACCCACAGCCCCTCCATGGCACCCCCCAGCACCCTATGGCACCCTCAGCCCCTCCACGGCACCCACAGCCCCTCCACGGCACCCTCAGCCCCTCCATGGCACCCACAGCCCCTCCACGGCACCCACAGACCCTCCATGGCACCCACAGCCCCTCCACGGCACCCACAGACCCTCCATGGCACCCACAGCCCCTCATTGCATCCTCCAGCACCTCACAGCACCCACAGCCACTCCATAGCATCCCCAGGGCACCCCATGGCACCCACAGCCCCTCATGGCACCCCCAGCCCCTCCATGGCATCCCCAGCCCCTCATGGCACCCACAGCCCCTCATGGCATCCCAGCCCACAGCCCTCCATGGCACCCCACAGCCCTCCATGGCACCCCCAGCCCTCAGGCACCCCAGCTCCCATGGCACCCACAGACCCTCCATGGCACCCACAGCCACTCCATGGCATCCCTCAGGCACCCCACAGCACCCCATGGCATCCCACGGCACCCACAGCCCCTCCATGGCACCCACAGCCCCTCCATGGCACCCACAGCACCCACAGCACCCCCAGCCCTCCACGGCACCCACAGACCCCACCTCCATGGCACCCCCAGCACCCTACGGCACCCACAGCTCCTCATGGCACCCACAGCACCCTCACATGGCACCCACAGCCCCTCCATGGCACCCTCAGCGCACCTCCATGGCACCCCACAGCCCCTCCATGGCACCCACAGCCCTCCATGGCATCCCCAGGGCACCCCCCATGGCACCCACAGCCACTCCATGCATCGGCACCCCCAGCACCCACCCTCCATGGCACCCACAGCCCCTCATGGCACCCCAGGCACCCCCACAGCACCCACAGCCCTCCATGGCATCCCACAGCCCCTCCATGGCACCCACAGGCACTCCATGGCATCCCTCAGCCCTCTCCACGGCACCCACAGCCCCTCCATGGCACCCTCAGCCCCTCCACGGCACCCACAGCCCCTCCACGGCACCCACAGACCCTCCATGGCACCCACAGCCCCTCCATGGCACCCACAGACCCTCCATGGCACCCCCAGCCCCTCCATGGCACCCCAGCCCCCCACGGCACCCACAGACCACTCCATGGCATCCCCAGGCACCCTACAGCACCCCACAGCACCTCCACAGCACCCACAGACCCTCCATGGCACCCACAGCTCCTCCATGGCATCCCCAGGGCACCCCACAGCACCCCAGCCCTCCATGGCACCCACACTCCTATGGCACCCACAGCCACTCCATGGCATCCCCAGGGCATCCCACAGCACCCACAGCCCCTCCATGGCACCCACAGCCCCTCCACGGCACCCACAGCCCCTCCATGGCACCCACAGCCCCTCCATGGCACCCACAGCCCCTCCATGGCACCCACAGCACCCTCCATGGCACCCCCAGACCCTCCATGGCACCCACAGCCCCTCCATGGCACCCTACAGCCCCCATGGCACCCACAGCCCCCACGGCACCCACAGCCCCTCCATGGCACCCACAGCCCCTCCCACGGCACCCACAGACCCTCCATGGCACCCACAGCCCCTCCATGGCATCCCCAGCACCCTCATGGCACCCACCAGACCCTCCATGGCATCCCACAGGGCACCCCCAGGGCACCCACAGCCCACTCCACTCGGCACCCACAGCCCCTCCATGGCACCCACAGCCCCTCATGGCACCCACAGCCCCTCATGGCATCTCCCAGCACCCACAGCCCCTCCATGGCACCCACAGCTCCTCATGGCACCCACAGCCCCTCATGGCACCCCACAGCCCCCATGGCACCCACATGGCACCCCATGGCACCCACAGCCCTCCATAGCATCCTCACAGCACCCCACAGCACCCCCAGCCCCTCCATGGCACCCACAGACCCTCCATGGCACCCACAGCCCCTCCATGGCATCCCCAGGGCACCCACAGCACCCACAGCTCCTCATGGTACCCACAGCCCCTCATGGCACCCACAGCACCCCACAGCACCCACAGATCCTCCGTGGCATCCCCCAGCCCCTCCATGGCACCCACAGACCCTCTGTGGCACCCACAGCCCCTCATGGCACCCACAGCCCCTCATGGTACCCCCAGGGCACTCCATGACACCCAACAGCCCCTCCATGGCACCCACAGCCCCTCCATGGCACCCCACAGCACCCACAGCCACTCCCTGGTACCCCCAGGGCATCCCCACGGCACCCACAGACCCTCCATGGCACCCACAGCCCCTCCACAGCACCCACAGCTCCTCCATGGCACCCACAGCTCCTCATGGCACCCCCTGGCACCCCCTGGCACCCACAGCCCCTTATGGCACCCACAGTTCCTCATGGCACCCCACGGCACCCCCAGCCCCTCCACAGCACCCCCCAGCCCCCCAAAGGGCACTGCCCGGGGCAACCCCACCTGGTTTTGGGGGAGCACGAGAGCCACTCGTCGTGTTTCTCGAAGGTGATGAGGTACGAGGCGATTTCCTGGCACAAGGAAAAGGGATGAAGTGGCCCATTTGTGTCACATCCCCCCCCTCTGTCCCCCCCACACTGTGTCACACTGTCCAGCCCTGCTGTCACGCTGTCCTCATCGTCCCTGACCCCGCTGTCCCCTCTGTCCCCAGCCAAACCATTCCCTCTGTCCCCTCAGTGTCCCTCTCCTGTCCCCCCATGTCCTGCTGTGTCCCTGTGTCCCTCCCCTGTCCCCCCACGTCCTGCTGTGTCCCTGTGTCCCTCCCCTGTCCTGCTGTGTCCCTGTGTCCCTCCCATGTCCTGCTGTGTCCTGTGTCCTCCATGTCCTCTGTCCTGTGTCCCCTCATGTCCTGCTGTGTCCCTGTCCCTCCTCTGTCCCCCATGTCCTGCTGTGTCCCTGTGTCCCTTCCCTGTCCTGCTGTGTCCCTGTGTCCCTCCATGTCCTGTTGTGTCCCTGTGTCCCTCCCATGTCCCGCTGTGTCCCTGTGTCCCTCCCATGTCCCCCCACATCCTGCTGTGTCCCTCCGTCCCCACGTCCTGCTGTGTCCCTCCCCTGTCCCCCATGTCCCTCTGTGTCCCCCCATGTCCTGCTGTGTCCTTCCCCTGTCCTGCTGTGTCCCTGTGTCCCTCCCATGTCCTGCTGTGTCCCTGTGTCCCTCCATGTCCTGCTGTGTCCCTGTGTCCCTCCCCTGTCCCATGTCCTGCTGTGTCCCTCCCCTGTCCCCTCCATGTCCTGCTGTGTCCCTGTGTCCCCCCCATGTCCTGCTGTGTCCCCCCATGTCCTGCTGTGTCCCTGTGTCCCCCCCACATCCCACTGTGTCCCTGTGTCCCCCCATGTCCTGCTGTGTCCCTGGGTCCCCCCACGTCCTGCTGTGTCCCTGTGTCCCCCCATGTCCTGCTGTGTCCCCCCCATGTCCTCCTGTGTCCCCATGTCCCTCCCCTGTCCCCTGTCCCCTCCCCACCTCGTTGGTGTTCCAGCGCAGCTGCTCCTTGGGCAGGACGGGGCATTTGGGCAAACACTCCACGAGCTTGCGGGGCAGGAAAACCTTCAGGTGGCTCCTCTCTGCTGAGGGGGGAGTGGTGAATGTCCCCCCACCTGTGTGTGTGTCCCTGTCCCACCTGTCCTCCCAGGTGTCCCCAGGTGTCCCCTTCCTCTCACCAGACACCTCGGGGGGGTCCTTGCCGCTCATCTCGGGGGGCACGCGGGGCCCTCAGGGCTCCCCTCGGGGGGCGCAGGAAGGGTTGGGACCTGTGGGGATGGGGGTCACCTCCACCCCCCCCACACACACACAAGAAATGGGTGATGGGGTGAGGGGACACAAGGTGGGGGGGAAATGGGACATTTGGGAGATTGTCACTGCTCTCAGCATCCCTGCCCCAGCTCAGAGCCCCCCAGCACCCTGTTCCACACCCACATCCTACAGCACCCCACAGCCCCCTCATATCCCATTCCATCCCATCCTGTGCCATCCCATCCCATCCCACCCCATCCCAACCCATCCCATCCCAACCTATCCTGTCGTATCCCATCCCATCCCATCTCATCCCATCCCATCTCATCCCATCCTATCCCATCCCATCCCATCCCATCCCACACCCGTGTCCTACAGCACCTCACAGCCTCCCATTCCATCTCATCCTGTGCCATCCCATCCCACACCCACATCCTACAGCACCCCACAGCCCCCTCATATCCCATTCCATCCCATCCTGTGCCATCCCATCCCGTCCCATCCCACACCCCTGTCCTACAGCACCCCATAGCTCCCTCATATCCCACCCCATCCCATCCTGTGCCATCCCATCCCATCCCACACCTGTGTCCTACAGCACCCCACAGCCTCCTCACATCCCACCCCATCCCATCCTGTGCCATCCCATCCCGTCCCATCCCATCCATCCAATCATCCCATCCCATCCCATCCCATCTCATCCATCCCACCCCATCCCATCCTGTCCCATTCCATCCCATCCCATCCCATCCCATCCCATCCCATCAATCCCATCCCATCCCACCCCATCCCATCCCATCCCAACCCATCCATCCCATCCCATCCCATCCCATCCATCCCATCCCAACCCATCCTATCCCATCCCATCCCATCATCCCATCCCATCCCATCCCATCCCATCCCAATCCATCTCCATCCCATCAATCCCATCCCATCCCATCAATCCCATCCCAACCTCCATCCCATCCCATCCCATCCCATCCCATCCCACACCCCTGTCCCATCTCATCCATCCCATCCCATCCCTGCCCCACATCCCATCTCATCCCCACCCCAAGACCACCCCACACCCTATCCCTAAACAACCATCCCCACCCTAAGGATGCCCCACACCCCTACCCATACAAAACCATCCCATCACATCCCATCCTGAGGACATCCCATCCAATCCTGTCCTAAAACCATCCCACACCCCTCCCTCAAAACCAACCCCATCCCGAGACACCATCACATCCCCTGTCCCTAAAAGCCATCCCCACATCCCCATCCTGAGGACCACCCCTACCCTAAAACCCATCCCACACCCTGCAGGACGACCCCACACCCTACCCTAACAACCATCACCACATCCCCACCCTGAGGACACCATCCCATCCCTACCCTAAACCCATCCCCACTCCTGAGCGATCACATCCCATCACTCCCACCCTAAAAAACCATCCCCACATCCCTACCCTTAAAAAACCATCCCCACATCCCCACCCTGAGGACACTCCACATTCCCTACCCTTAAAAAACAATCCCCACATCCCCAATCTGAGGACACCCCACACTCCCTACCCTAAAAAACCCTCCCCACCCTGAGGACACCCCACACACCCTACCCTAAAAAACCATCCCCACATCCCTACCCTTAAAAACCATCCCCACATCCCTACCCTGAGGACACCCCACACCCTACCCTAAAAAACCATCTGCATGTCGAGGACACCCCACATTCCCTACCCTAAAAAACCATCACCACATCCCCACCCCGAGGACACCCCACATCCCCTACCCTAAAAAACCATCCCCACCCTGAGGACACCCCACATTCCCTGCCCTAAAAAACCATCCCCATCCCAAGGACACCCCACATTCCCTGCCCTAAAAAACCATCCCCACCCTGAGGACACCCCACATCCCTACCCTAAAAAACCATCCCCAAAACGAGGACACCCCACATTCCCTACCCTAAAAAACCATCCCCACATCCCCACCCTGAGGACACCCCACATTCCCTACCCTAAAAAACCATCCCCACATCCCCACTCTGAGAACACCCCTACCCTAAAAAACCATCCCCACCCTGAGGACACCCCACACCCCTACCCTAAAAAACCATCCCCACCCTGAGGACACCCCAGACTCCTACCCTAAAAAACCATCCCCACATCCCTACCCTGAGGACACCCCTACCCTAAAAAACCATCTCCACCCCGAGGACACCTCACATTCCCTACCCTAAAAAACCATCCCCACCCCGAGGACACCCCACATTCCCTGCCCTAAAAAACCATCCCCATCCCAAGGACATCCCACATTCCCTGCCCTAAAAAACCATCCCCATCCCAAGGACACCCCACATATCCTACCCTGAAAAACCATCCCCACATCCCCACCCCGAGGACACCCCACACCCCCTACCCTAAAAAACCATCCCCACTCCCTGAGGACACCCCACATTCCCTACCCTAAAAAACCATCCCCACCCTGAGGACACCCCACATTCCCTACCCTAAAAAAACCATCCCCACCCTGAGGACACCCCACATTCCCTACCTAAAAAAACCATCCCCACCCCGAGGACACCCCACATTCCCTGCCCTAAAAACCATCCCCACCCCGAGGACACCCCACATTCCCTGCCCTAAAAAACCATCCCCATCCCGAGGACACCCCACATTCCCCTACCCTTAAAAACCATTCCCACATCCCCACCCCAAGGACAACCCACATTCCCCTACCCTTAAAAAACCATCCCCACCTTGAGGACACCCCACACCCCCTACCCTTAAAAAACCATCCCCACATCCCCACCCTGAGGACACCCCTACCCTAAAAAACCATCTCCACATCCCCAGCCCGAGGACACCCCACATTCCCTTACCCTAAAAAACCATCCCCACCCTGAGAACACCCCACATTCCCCTACCCTTAAAAACCATCCCCACCTCGAGGACACCCCACACCCCCTACCCTTAAAAAACCATCCCACCCTGAGGACACCCCACACTCCTACCCCTAAACCCACCCCCACATCCCCCCATCCTACACCTCCCCCACAACCCCAACCTCAGGCACTCCCAAACCTCCTCCCCTCACCACCTCCCCTCCCTCCCCGCCTCACACACACCCCCCTCACCCCTCACCCCTCCTTCCTGCCCCTCCCGGCCCCCTCCCGGCCCCTCCCGGCCCCTACCTGCCCCTCAGGCCCCACCTGCCCTCAGGGCCCCACCTGCCCCTCAGGGCCCCACCTGCCCCTCAGGGCCCCACCTGCCCCCTCAGGGCCGCGGCCGCCGCCGCCTCCCCCGCCCCCGCCGCCCGCCGCCATCTTCCCCGCCCGCCGGCGCGTGACGTCAGCGCGCACCGCGCGCGGGGCGGGGCCGAGGAGGGCGGCCTGCGCTGCGTGGGCGTGGCCAAGGCGTAATTAGAGACCTTAATTATTAATTAAGCCCTACTCCGCTTGGAATTCTGTGAGATGTATGGCGAAAACCATCAAAGATACTGATGCCCCCAGCGCTGTTAACAGAGGAAATAGCGCTTTTAGTGATTGTGCCATCCGCGTTAGCAAAATGCGTAATTACTATTTCGATTCTATAAAAAAAAATTAGCGTTAATATCACCGGATAAACTTTTTGTGAGGCGTTTGGTATTTTTTATAGAGTTTTGCACCGTCTGGGCCGTCTCTTGGAGGCATTTTCGGGCGCTGCCTGGGGATGAGGGGGTGGAGGAGGGGGTAGTGGAATGGGGGTCCTTGAGGGTGAGGGGAAATGGGTGAAAAAATGGGGTTAGGAAAGTGTGAGGAAAAAAAAAACATCAGGGAAAGCGGGAGGAGGAAAAAAAGGGAAGTGAAAATAAATAAAAAGTGCGGGGAAAGATGATGAAAAGAGCAAGAAAGGTGAAGGAAACACTGAGAAAAGGAGAGTGAAGTGTGAAGAGAGGATGGCAAAACAGGGGAAGGAAAAGGGAAAACGCGAGGGGAAAAAGCTGAGCGAGAGGAACGGCGGGGAACTGCGAAGCGAAAAACTTGGGGGAAAAAAACACGGGAAGAGAGGAAAAAAAAATAAAACAAAACAAAAAAGTGAGGGGAAAAACGCGGCGATCCCGCGCGGACCCCACCGTTGCCCTTTTTAACACCGTTGCCCGTTTAAGGGGTGGGCGTGGCTAGGGGGATGCCACGCCCACTGCGGGCCAGGCCACGCCCCTCACCGGGCGCGGCCGGAGCCGCCGCCGAAGCCCCGGGCGGGACCGGAACGGCCCGGGGGGCACCGGGGGGGGCTCTGGGGTCCTGACCCGGCCCGGGACGGGCGGCCTGGGGGCTTCAGGCGCTGCTGGGCAGGTGGGCTGGCGGCCGAGGGGGCGTAGGGGCAGCTTTGGGGTCTCTCAGAGCTGGGGCCAGGTTAGGGGGTCCGGGAGGGTTAGGGGGTTCTGGGGGTTTCAGAGGTATTTGGGGGTATAGAAAGGTTCTTGGGGGGGTTAGGGGGTTCTGTGGGGTCTCAGAGGTGTTTGGGGGTATAGAAAGGTTCTGGGGGTTAGGGGTTCTGGGGGTTAGGGGGTTCTGGGGGTGTTCAGAGGTGTTTGGGGGTATAGATAAGGTGTCTGGGGGTTAGGAGGTTCTGGGGGGTTAGGGGTTCTGGGGGTCTCAGAGGTGTTTGGGGGTATAGAAAGGTTCTGGGGGTCTCAGAGGTATTTGGGGGTTAGGGGGTTCTAGGGGGTTCTGGGGTCTCAGAGGTGTTTGGGGGTATAGAAAGGTTTGGGGGTTAGGGGGTTCTGGGGGTCTCAGAGGTGTTTGGGGGTATAGAAAGGTTCTGGGGGTTAGGGGTTCGGGGGTTAGGGGGTTCTGGGGGTCTCAGAGGTATTTGGGGGGTATAGGAAGGTTCTGGGGGTTAGGGGGTTCGAGGGTTAGGGGTGTTCTGGGGGTCTCAGAGGTATTTGGGGGTATAGGAAGGTTCTGGGGGGGTCTCAGAGGTATTTGGGGGTATAGGAAGGTTCTGGGGGTTAGGGGGTTCTGGGGGTCCCAGAGGTGTTTGGGGGGGTTAGGGGGTTCTGGGGGTCTCAGAGGTATTTGGGGGTATAGAAAGGTTCTGGGGGTTAGGGGGTTCTGGGGGTCTCAGAGGTGTTTGGGTGGCATAGAAAGGTTCTGGGGGTTAGGGGGTTCTGGGGAGGTCCTCAGAGGTGTTTGGGGGTATAGAAAGGTGTCTGGGGGTTAGGGGTTCTGGGGGTCTCGGAGGTATTTGGGGGTTAGGGGTTCTGGGGGTCTCAGAGGTGTTTGGGGGTATAGAAAGGTTCTGGGGGCTTAGGGGGTTCTGGGGGTCTCAGAGGTGTTTGGGGGTATAGAAAGTTCTGGGGGGTTAGGGGGTTCTGGGGGTCTCAGAGGTGTTTGGGGGTTATAGAAAGGTTCTGGGGGGTTAGGGGTTCTGGGGGTCTCAGAGGTGTTTGGGGGGGTATAGAAAGGTTCTGGGGGTTTAGGGGGCTTCTGGGGAGGGGTCTCAGAGGTGTTTGGGGGTATAGAAAGGTTCTGGGGTGGGGTTTAGGGGGTTCTGGGGTGTAAGGAGGCTTTAAGGGGGCTAGAAGGGGTTCTGGGGGTCCTAGGGCATAGGAGCAGGTATAGGGGGCTCTGGGGTGGGGGGTTAGGGGTTCTGGGGTCTCAGAGGTATTTGGGGGTTAGGGGTTCTAGGGGGTTAGGGGGTTCGGGGGTCTCAGAGGTGTTTGGGGGTACAGAAAGGTTCGGGGGTCTCAGAGGTATTTGGGGGTATAGAAAGGTTCTGGGGGATTAGGGGTTCTGGGGTCTCAGGGTCGTGGGCGCAGGGGTAAATTTAAGGTGATCGTGGAGGGGGTCTCCCGTTTGGGTGGGGGGGCGGCGCAGGTTTAGGGGTGTCACAGGTGCGTGGGGGCTGTTTTAGGGTCTCAGCCCTTTGACCTCCACGGGCAAGCTGGGGAGCCCCTCATTTCGGGTGGGAGCCCCCCATTTCTGGTGGGAGCCTCCATTTCGGGTGGAGCCCTCCATTTCTGGTGGGAACCCCATTTCGTGGGAGCCCCATTTCGGGGGAGCTCCATTTCGGGGGAGTCCCATTTGAGTGGGCCCATTTCTGGTGGGGCCCATTTCGGTGGGAGCTGCTTCGGTGATCCCTATTTCGGGGTCCCTGAGGGGGGGGCTGTCACGCTGAGGTTATTCTCCCTGGGGGTCATCTGAGGACAAGGGGGATTCTAGGGGGGGTATAGGGGGCTCCTCATCCCCTCTCCTCCCTCCCTTCCCCAACCTTTTCCCCCCACCCCTGACCTTTGACCCCCATGATGCTACCTGTATTTCGGGGGTTGGGGAGGTGGGAGGGGAGGGAGGTTCCTTTCCCTCCTCCCTCCCCCCTCTGGCGACACCCCCGGGTTATTTTTAGGGCTCTCCTTGACCGGGAGGGAGGGAGGGACACGGATCCATCCCCTCCCCCCTCCGTGGGGGCGTCAGGGGTGGTTCTGGGTCGGTCGTGACGTCGCTCTGTCGCGACAGGGCGCGACGGGCATGGCGGGCGCCTCGGTGAAGGTGGCGGTCCGGGTGCGGCCCTTCAGCCCCCGCGAGAGCAGCCGGCAGGCCAAGTGCGTCATCCAGATGCGAGGGAACACCACCTGTGAGTGGGGAAGGGAGGAAAAAAAAGGGGGGGGTGGGCAAAGGGACCCCCTCCCCACCCCCAATTCCCCGTCCTTGTCCCCGTCTTGGCCACCAGCCCGCAGGACCAGCTGCCAACGTGCTAAAAATAGCAGCTGACAGGGTTATTTGGGGGGGTGATGGTGATGGGGGGGGTTTGGGGACACGCTGGGGGGTGGCAGTGATGTCAGGGGTGTGTCCCCCCCCCCAAAAAAAACCCCTCTGCCACCTCGCCAGGCATCACCAACCCCAAGCTCCCCAAGGACGGCACCAAGCACTTCACCTTCGACTACTCCTACTGGTCCCACACCTCGGTGAGCGCCTCGAGGGGGGGTTTTGGGGTGTCCTGTAATAAATTAAGAATGTAAGACTGTTATTATTTTTTTATTATTATTTTATTATTATTTTAAGACTGTAATAAATTAATTAAACACGTGTAATTTCTCTGTAACCATAACTTTCTGTATTTTTTTTTGTTCCCTGTAGTAAAAATTAACGATAGAATTCTGTGTTTTGTAACAAATTCCTTTTCCAGTAAAACTTAATATAATGATTGCCAGGAAAGTCTTATCCAAAACCAGGCAGAGAAACATACACAAATCATGAGAAAGGAATACACAAACCTTTTCTTAAGGTAATTGGGCAATCAACTCCAAGAACTCCAAGAAAGGATCCTAGATCAGATAACCCTTCTTCCAGGAAAGAAGAAAAAACGAAATACACTTTCTTTGTGAGAATTCAAACCCCAATAAATATATTATGTTTGCCTTCTTGCACGGGGCAATCCTCTAAATTCAGACTTGGGATTGTGAAATATGAAACCAGAATGATATAAAAGGGAGATGAAACATTCAGGTTTTTTGCCTCAATGCTTGTTTTAACGCTTTGATAATAAACTTATTTCTTTATTGCGGTTTTTTTAGCCCGGCTTTTATCGTTTCACTTCTAACACCCCTAATTCTTTTTTCCCTGCAGGAGGAGGACCCAAATTTCGCCTCCCAGCGCCAGGTGTACCAGGACATCGGGGAGGAGATGCTGGCCCACGCCTTCGAGGGCTACAACGTTTGCATCCTGGCCTACGGCCAGACCGGCGCCGGCAAGTCCTACACCATGATGGGGCGGCAGGAACCGGGGCAGAGAGGCATCATCCCGCAGGTCTGGGGGGTTTTAGGGGGTGCTGGATCCCCCCCTTTTCATCTACCACATCCCCCGTGGCTCAGCTTGCCCCCCTCCCCAAATTCCACCCCACAGCTCTGCGAGGATCTGTTCGCCCGCGTCGCACGGGAGGGGTCCCCCGAGCTCTCCTTCTCCGTGGAGGTGAGGGGGCTTTGGGGGTTCAGGAGGGGTCCCCTGAGCTCTCCTTGTCCGTGGAGGTGAGGGGGCTTTGGGGGTTTAGGGTGGGAAATGCATGGGGGCGCCCCTAACTTGCAGGTTCCCCTGGGTAATTGTAATTTTGGGGGTTCAACTCGAACCCCTCGTGCCTTGCAGGTCTCTCCCCCAAAGCTGTTTGGAGGTTCATCTACCCCTACCCTAGAATTTTGGGGGCTCTCCCTTTGCCCCAGCAATCTGGGGGCTCACTTTCCAACCCACCCCCTCACTCTGGGGTTCCTCCCCACCCCAAACCTTGCCCCCACCCTTTTACCCCCCTTCACCAGGTGAGCTACCTGGAGATCTACTGCGAGCGTGTGCGGGACCTGCTGAACCCCAAGAGCCGGGGGGGGCTGAGGGTGCGGGAGCACCCCCTGCTCGGGCCCTACGTGCAGGATCTGTCCCGCCTCGCCGTCGCCTCCTTCGCCGACATCGCCGACCTCATGGACAGCGGCAACAAGGCCAGGTGGGGAGGGGTGGGGTTCAGGGGCACCCCCCAGACCCTGAAGGTTCCCCCAGATGCTGAGGGTTCCCCCACCTTTGAGAAAAAAATTAAAAAATAACCCCCTCTCCCGCAGGACGGTGGCGGCCACGAACATGAACGAGACGAGCAGCCGCTCGCACGCCGTGTTCACCATCGTGTTCAGCCAGCGCCGCCGCGACCCCCTCAGCGACCTCACCACGGAGAAGGTCAGGAAATCACCCAAAATTATTCCCACACCCCCCAAATCCCCTGAGTTACCCCCAAAATCCCTGCCTGCTTCCCGCCGCGAATTTTCCCCCGCTCGCGCTCCCTCAAACCCCACCCAGTTCCCTTCGCTCCTCGAACCGCCCTGCGGTCCCCAAAACCCCTGAAATCCTCTGCAAACCCCCCAAAAACCCCCTCACAACCTCCACACCCCAAAATCTCCCCAGACCTCTCCCCAATCCCTCCTGCCCCCCAACCCCAGGTGAGCCGCATCAGCCTGGTGGACCTGGCGGGCAGCGAACGCGCCGACGCCTCGGGGGCCAAGGGAATCCGCCTCAAGGTGAGCGGGGAGGGGACCCCCTGTACCCCCCAGAAAGAGGGGGTGCCCCCTCCCTCCATCCCCCAGCCCATCCAAGCCTTCCTCCCCCTTCTCCCCCTCCCCAGGAAGGCGCCAACATCAACAAATCTCTGACCACCCTGGGCAAGGTCATCTCCGCCCTGGCCGAGGCGGTGAGTTTGGGAGGGAGGGGGTTAAACAGGGGGGTCTCATCCCTCTCCCCACATCCCGTGGTGTCTCCCCACAGCTCTGGGGTCCCCTCGTTTTTTGGGGGGCACCCAAAAACGGGGGACTCTCTCTTTTTCCTCCTCCCCCACCCCTGACAGACCAGCAAGAAGAAGAAGCCGGATTTCATCCCCTACCGCGACTCGGTGCTGACGTGGCTGCTGAAGGAGAACCTGGGTGGGTTCCTGGAGGAGTGGGGATTTGGGGAGGTGGCTGATGAGGTTTTTTGGGGGTCCCTGCTGAGCCAGCCCCCCTCTCTCCCCCCCTCACAAGGTGGGAACTCGCGCACGGCCATGATCGCGGCGCTGAGCCCGGCCGACATCAACTACGAGGAGACGCTGAGCACGCTGCGGTGAGGGGAGGAGGGTTTTTAGGGGGAGGAAAAAAGGACTTGGGGGGAGGTCTTGGGCCTGATTCTGGACTCCCCACCCCCTCCCCAGCTACGCAGACCGCACCAAGCAGATCCGGTGCCACGCGGTGATCAACGAGGACCCCAACGCGCGGCTGATCCGGGAGCTGCGCCAGGAGGTGACGCGGCTGAGGGAGCTGCTCAGCGCCCAGGGTGAGGGGTTTGGGGGATTTTGGGGGTCAGGGGGTCAGGGGGGCTGTGGGAGCTGCTCAGCGCCCAGGGCTGAGGGGTTTGGGGGGATTTTGGGGGTTCGAGGGGCTCGAGGGAGCTGCTCAGCGCCCAGGGTGAGGGGGGGTTTGCGGGGTCAGGGGGCTGAGGGAGCTGCCTCAGGGTGAGGGATTTGGGGGATTTGGGGGATTTGGGGGTCAGGGGGCTGAGGGAGCTGCTCAGCACTCAGGGTGAGGGGTTTGGGGGATTTGGGGGTCAGGGGGCTGTGGGAGCTGCTCAGCGCCCAGTGAGGGGCTGGGGGAGTTTGGGGATTTGGGGGTCAGGGGGCTGAGGGAGCTGCTCAGCGCCCAGGGTGAGGGATTTGGGGGATTTTTGGGGGTCAGGGGGCTGAGGGAGCTGCTCAGCGCCCAGGGTGAGGGGCTGGGGATTTGGGGTCAGGGGGCTGCAGGAGCTGCTCAGCGCCCAGGGTGAGGGGTTTGGGGGGGTCAGGGGGCTGTGGGAGCTGCTCAGGGTGAGGGGCTGGGGGATTTGGGGGTCAGGGGGCTGAGGGAGCTGCTCAGCGCCCAGGGTGAGGGGTTTGGGGGATTTGGGGGTCAGGGGGCTGTGGAGCTGCTCAGCGCCCAGGGTGAGGGGTTTGGGGGATTTTAGGCCAGGGGTCAGGGGGCTGAGGAGCTGCTCAGCGCCCAGGGTGAGGGATTTGGGGGTCAGGGGGCTGCAGGAGCTGCTCAGCGCCCAGGGTGAGGGATTTGGGGGTCAGGGGCTGAGGGAGCTGCTCAGGGTGAGGGGCTGGGGGATTTGGGGTCAGGGGGCTGCAGGAGCTGCTCAGCGCCCAGGGTGAGGGGTTTGGGGGATTTTGGAGTAGGGGTCAGGGGGCTGGGGAGCTGCTCAGGGTGAGGGGCTGGGGGTTTGGGGGTCAGGGGGCTGAGGGAGCTGCTCAGCACTCAGGGTGAGGGGCTGGGAGGGTTTGGGGGCTGAGGAGCTGCTCAGCGCCCAGGGTGAGGGGTTTGGGTCAGGGGGCTGAGGGAGCTGCTCAGCGCCCAGGGTGAGGGGCTGGGGGATTTTGGGGATTTGGGGGTCAGGGGGCTGAGGGAGCTGCTCAGCACCCAGGGTGAGGGAGCTGGGGGATTTTAGGTAGGGGTCAGGGGGCTGAGGGAGCTGCTCAGCGCCCAGGGTGAGGGGCTTGGGGGATTTTGGGGGCCAGGGGGTCAGGGGGCTGCAGGAACTGCTCAGTGCCCAGGGTGAGGGGTTTGGGGGATTTTAAAGAGGGGTCAGGGGCTGTGGGAGCTGCTCAGTGCCCAGGATGAGGGATTTGGGGGTCAGGGGGCTGGGGAGCTGCTCAGCGCCCAGGGTGAGGGGTTTGGGGATTTTGGGGATTTGGGGTCAGGGGGCTGTGGGAGCTGCTCAGGTGAGGGGCTGGGGGTTTGAGGGGTCAGGGGGCTGCAGGGAGCTGCTCAGCGCCCAGGGTGAGGGCTGGGGGATTTGGGGGATCAGGGGGGCTTCAGGAGGACAAGATGTGGCTCTGAGAGCCGCTCAGCACGCAGGGTGAAAGGCTGGGGGTGGGGGATTTTGGGGCTGAGGGTGGGGTTCAGGGGTTTAGGGGAGAGATGTGAGGCAGTTTAGGCTCAGATTTAGGAGAACTGGTGGAGCAGAGGGTTGTGGAGGGGTAGAGAGAGGGGATTTGGGAGCTTTGAGAGGTTTGGGTGTGGAAGGGATTTGGGGGTCGGGGAAGGGGAAGGGGAAGAGCTTGGGGGCAGAACTGAGGGGGTTTGGGGGCTTTTGGGGTTCTGGAGTGGGGTGCAGGAGGTAACAGCCAGCCCCACCGACCCAACACCCCAGGTCTGTCTGGACAGCCCCCCAAGACCCCCCCACCCAGACTGCCCCCACCCTCAACGGGGGCCGGAGCCGGAGCCTCCTGGGCGCCGCCGAGGCCATGGAGAGGCTGCAGGTGACCCCAAAAACACCCCCAAACCCCTCCCCTGCCCCTGAGGGACCCAGGAGTGCCACATCCCCTCCTAAACTTTGGGGGCCCCCAAATGGGTTTTTCCCCTCCCCAGGAGACAGAGAAGATCATCGCGAGCTCAACGAGACGTGGGAGGAGAAGCTGCGGCGACGGAGGCCCTGAGGCTGGAGAGGTGAGAGGGGTGTCCCCAAACCCTTCCATCAGCCCCCCAAAACCCTCCCTAATTTCCACCCCAGCCCTGCTGAACCTCCTCCTGCCACCCTCCCCAAATTTCCTCCACAACCCCTCCCTCCACCCCATGACCCCCTAAAATCTGATCCCCACAGCGCTCTTTATGGGCCCCCCCCAACCCAACAGCCACCCCACCGCCCCCCCAAGCCCCCCTTGAGCTCCCCAGACCCCTTGGACCCCCTCCAACCCCCCCTGTGCCCTCCAGGGAGGCGCTGCTGGCTGAGATGGGGGTGGCCCTGCGAGAGGACGGCGGCACCGTCGGCGTCTTCTCCCCTAAAAAGGCAAGTTGGGGAAGGAAGGGGGGCTGGAGGGGAGCCCCCAAAACCCTGTGACCCATCCCCCCACCAGGAGGAGACCCCACTCACCTTCACTCTGGCTTGGGGGTCTTTTTTTCCTGCCTCCCAAAAGACCCCCCACTTGGTGAACCTCAACGAGGACCCGCTGATGTCCGAGTGCCTCCTCTACCACATCAAGGACGGCGTCACCAGGTGGGCAGGGGCACCCCCAAAAACCACTCAGGGCCCTTCCTGAACCCCTCAGGGCCCCCCCAGATGCCTCAGGACCACCCCCAATTTACTCCTGTGGCCCCCCAGGGTGGGCCAGGTGGACGTGGACATCAAGCTGTCGGGGCCGTTCATCCGGGAGCGGCACTGCCTGTTCCGCAGCTGCCCCGACCCCTCGGGGGAAGGTAGGCAGTTCAGAGGGGGGGAGCCAGATTTTGGGCTGCACCCCCTCACCCTGCACCCCCTCTTCTTGCACCCCCTTAATTGCTTTTTCTCCCCACTCCCCCTCCCCTCCTCCCCTCCCCACAAAATGCTGGCACTGGAGCAGGTCACCGTGGCCCCCTCTCCCCTCAGGTACCGCTCCCCCCCTTGTGCTGGTGGGTCGAGGGTGGGATTTGGGGTCCTCCCACCCCGGGTTTAGCAAGGGAGGGTGGTGGGGGTGGTGACCCACCCTCCCCTCGTTGTCCCCCTTTCCCTGAAGTTGTGGTGACGCTGGAGCCGTGCGAGGGGGCCGAGATCTACGTCAACGGGAAGCAGGTGACGGAGCCGGTGGTGGCTCAAGTCGGGCAGGGTCTCCCTTCCCCCCAAATCCCCCTTCCCCAAATCCCCTGCCCCCAAATCCCTCCCCCAAATCCCCTGCCCCCAAATCCCCTCCCCCAAATCCTCTTGTCTCCCTCCCTAAAATCCACCCCCGCGTGCCCCCCAAATTTCCCTCCCAATTCACTGACGCCCCCCCAAAACATCACCACGACCCTCCCAGATCTGTGGGCATCCCAAAATCTCCCCTAAATCCTCCCTGTTTCCCCCTCTCCCCTCCCCAAACCTCCCCTCTATCCCAGGCTCCCGCCTCATTTTGGGCAAGAACCACGTGTTCCGCTTCACCCACCCCGAGCAGGCGCGGCGGGAGCGGGAACGGGGGGCCCCCCCCGGGCCCCCCCTGGACTGGAACCTGGCACAGCGAGAGCTGCTGGAGCAGCAGGGCATCGACATGCGCCTCCAGAGGTGGGAGGCACCTGGGAACCCCCCCTTCCCCCCACACCCCAAGGCAGGATTTGGGGTTCTCATCCCGTGTGCCCCCCCAGGCTCCAGGAGCTGGAGAACCAACCCCAGCCGGAGAAGGAGACGGTGGAGCAGCCAGAGGTGAGGGGGCCCCTGTGGGGAAGGAGCTGGGGGGTAATTTTGGGGTGTGTGGGTGCACTTTGGGGGGGTCCCCTGTGTCACTTTGGGCGTCCCACGGGCGGCTCTTGGGGCGCTCCTGGGCGTCCCCCAGGTCCTCTGGGTGCGGTTGGGCATCCCCTGAGCGCCACCGCTGCCCTTTGCCTCCCCTCAGCATCCCATGGGGGGGTTTTTTGGGTGCCCCCTGAGCCCCACAATTCTTTCCCTCAGCCCCCCACGTCAGACCCCCGCTGCTACGAGGCCGGCTGGCGCCTGATCTCGTCGCTGCGGGCGGCGCTGCCGGCGCCCGCCGTGCGCTCGGTGCTGCCGCCGGGAAAGCGCCGGGAGCCGCTGCGCGTCTACCAAATCCCCCAGCGCCGCCACGGGGGCTCCTCGGCACCGCCAGCATCCTCCACATCGACCCCATCGACCCCCTGGGTGACCATGGCCGACCTGAAGGCGCGGGCGGTGCGGGAGCTGTGCCGGCGCCACGGCAAGCGCGAGCCCGCCGAGCGCGACGGCTGCCGCGCCGTGGCCGGGGACGTGTGGGATGCTGTGGGTGGTGAGGATGAGGAAGGGGTTGTTGGTGGCCCCACCTGCGAGCAGGCGAGCGAGGTGGAAGGGCTGAGGCTGCACCTGGACCGGCTGGCGGGGATCCTGCGCGAGGTGAAGCGGCAGAACAGCGCCAAGGACGAGCAGATCCGCGCCCTGCGCGACCGCGTGGGGCAGATGGAGCGCGTCCTCCCGCTGCCGCCGGTGAGGGGGCTCCCCACGGGGCGCCCCGAGAGCCTCGGGGTGCCTGAGCCACGGCCTGACCCACAGCACCCTCCCAGACATCCCCCCAAGGGGTGGGCCCTGCCTGCCCCACGAGCTCCTAACGCAGCCCCACGAGCTCCTAACGCAGATCCTGCCCCACGAGCTCCTAACGCAGCCCCACGAGCTCCTAAAGCAGATCCTGCCCCACGAGCTCCTAACGCAGATCCCGCCCCACGAGCTCCTCAGATCCCGCCCCACGAGCTCCTAACGCAGATCCCGCCCCACGAGCTCCTAGCACAGATCCTGCCCCACAAATCCCTAAAGCAGATCCTGCCCCACGAGCTCCTAACGAAGATCCCACCCCACAAACTCCTAACGCAGATCCTGCCCTACGAGCTCCTAACGCAGCCCCACGAGCTCCTAACGCAGATCCTGCCCCACAACCTCCTAATGCAGATCCTGCCCCACGAGCTCCTAACGCAGCCCCACGAGCTCCTAACGCAGATCCTGCCCCACGAGCTCCTAACGCAGATCCTGCCCCACGAGCTCCTAAAGCAGATCCTGCCCCATGAGTTCCTAACGCAGATCCTGCCCCACGAGCTCCTAAAGCAGATCCCGCCCCTACGAGCTCCTAACGCAGATCCTGCCCCACGAGCTCCTAACGCAGATCCTGCCCCACGAGCTCCTAATGCAGATCCTGCCCCACGAGCTCCTAACGCAGATCCTGCCCCACGAGCTCCTAACGCAGATCCTGCCCCACGAGCTCCTAACGCAGATCCTGCCCCACGAGCTCCTAACGCAGATCCTGCCCCTACAAACTCCTAACGCAGATCCTGCCCCACGAGTTCCTAACGCAGATCCTGCCCCACGAGCTCCTAACGCAGATCCCACCCCTCGAGCTCCTAACGCAGATCCTGCCCCATGAGCTCCTAATGCAGATCCTGCCCACGAGCTCCTAACGCAGATCCCGCCCCACGAGCTCCTAACGCAGATCCTGCCCCACGAGCTCCTAAAGCAGATCCTACCCCACGAGTTCCTAACTCAGATCCTGCCCCATGCAATAATCTGCACACACCCCCCCCAAAATCTGCCCCTTCCCACCCCGTGGCACCCCCACACGCATCCCTCCAACCCCACAACCCCCACCATCCCCTGCAAACCCACCCCCACAACCCCCCCATCCCTCCCCCCAGACCCTCCCCACAACCCCTCCCCCATGCATCCCTCCCACCCCACAACCCCCCCATCCCCTCCCCCAGCACCCTCCCCCACAACCCCCCCCCATACCCCTCTAACCTCTCCTCCCCTTCCCGCAGGACGACGATGCCGACGATGCCGAGCCCCGCCCGAGAGCCCCCTGGACTCCCTCCTGGCTCGGAGCCGGGGTCGCCGCCGTCTCCTCTCCCCGTCGGCGGCGGCGGCGCGGCTGTGCCGGCTCATGGAGCAGGACCCGGCGTTCCGGCGGGAGGCTGCGCTGGCTGCGCCAGGAGCAGGCCCGCCTCGTGGCCGGGGAGGGGAAACCCGCAGCCCCCGCCCACCCCCCGCGCCGCCCCCACCGCCTCCTCCTCAACGCGGCCTCCCAGGACTCCAAGCTGCGCTCCCTTTAAGAGCAACCCCAGCACCGCGTGGCTTGGGGGTCGCCGCCACCCCCTCGTCCGAGCACGGCCCCCCCGCCCCACTCGGGGCGCCCTCGCCGCGGGTCCCTGGACGGGGGGCCCTGGCGACCCCGTGGGGACCCCTGCCCTGCGGTGCGCCGCTAGCGCTCGGCCCCCGACCTGAAGGCGCGGGGGACCCCTGCTTAGGGGGTGGGGCGGGGGATTTTTGGGACACCCCTCACCCCCCACATGGACAATGCACAGCCTCCCCACCCCACAATAGGGGGTCTCCTGCCCGGGGGAGCCCCCCAGCTGCTGCACACTGCCCTCCCCCCAGCGTGTGCGTGTGTCTGTAGGGGACCCCCTAACCTCTCCCAAAGCAGGGGACCCTCTAATTAGAGGGATCCTGCTACTAAAGAGGAAATCCCCCTCTTCCCCCTATTTCAGTGCCTGCGCTCCGCCCACTCCAGCCTGGCACGCGGTGGACACGCCCCTTTTGGGGCGGGGCACCAGAAGGCTCCGCCCACCCTTCATTTCCTATGGGTTGGGGTGGGAAAAGCCCTGCCCCTCACTATTTTTGGGGGCGTGGCGTGGAAATGACCCCACCCCCTCTGCGGCCCCCGCCCTCCCACGCAGGCAGCGCGTGGCCGGGGGGCGTCTCCCCCAAGCCCCGCCCCTTTTAGGGTGTGTTCCTTTAGGCCCCGCCCCTTTGTCCCCCCGGTCGCCCACCCCGGGACCCCCTCCTTTTCGGCCCATTCGCCCCAGCCCGGCCGCGCCATGAACCGCCTCGGGGCCCGCTGCTGCTGCTACTGGGGATACTGGGAGCACTGGGACCCCCGGCCGCGGGGCAGGACCCGGGCCTGGCCCCGAGCCCCACCCCACCGCCCGCCCCAACGCCACCAGGTGACGGCAATCCCCAGGACCCCCTCCCCGGGCAGCGGGACCCCCTCCCCGGGCACCGGGACCCCCTCCCGGGCACCGGGACCCCGGGTGGGGACACCCCGGGATGGGACAGGACCCCCGGGCACCGGGACCTCTCCCAGGCATCAGGACCCCCTCCCGGGCACTGGGACCCCCTCCCGGGCAGCTGGGACCCCGGGTGGGGACACCCTCGGGATGGGACGGGACCCTCCCGGGCACCGGGCCCCGGAACGGGACAGCGGATCCCCAGGGTGGGACATCCCCGGGATGGGACAGGACCCCACCCACCCCCGGGACACCGGGACCCCCTCCCAGGCACCGGGACCCCTCCCAGGCATCGGGACCCCTCCCCGGCACCGGGACACCCCGGGATGGGACGGGGCCTCCCCAGAACGTGGCATCCCCGCGATGGGATCGACACCCCTCCCCCCGGGACGGCCCTCCTACCGGGACAGGACCCCCCTGTCCAGGACCCCCCAAGTCCAGGACCGGGAGCTGGGACTCCCCCTCGGACCCCAAATCCCCCAAAGCTCCCCAAAACCAGGACCCCCTCCCCATAGCCCAGGGGAGAGTCCTGGGACACCCCCAAACTCAGGTTTCCACCCCTCCCCTCCCCCGTTTGGGCCCCCCGTGATCCCCCCGTGCCGTGTCCTCCCCCCAGGCCGGTGTTCCCGTGCGGGGGGGACCACCGAGGGAGTCAGGGTTCATCGCCAGCGAGGGCTTCCCGGCACTACCCCCGGCAGCAACTGCACCTGGACCATCACGGTACGGACCCCCTCGGGCCCCCAAAATACCCCTTTGGGTACCCAAAATACCCCTCGGGCACCCCAAATACCCCTGGTGTCCCCAAAATACCCCGGGCATCCCAAACACCCCCGGCAGCAACTGCACCTGGACCATCACGGTACGGACCCCCCTCAGGCACCCAAATACCCCTTTGGGTACCCAAAATACCCTGGTGTCCCCAAAATACCCCCGGGGCACCCCAAATACCCCCCCGGCAGCAACTGCACCTGGACCATCACGGTACGGACCCCCAGGCACCCAAAATACCCCCTGGTCACCCAAAATGCCCCCTGGGGCACCCAAAATACCCCCTGGGGCACCCCAAACACCCCCGGGGCATCCCAAACCCCCGGGGCATCCCAAACACCCACCCGGCAGCAACTGCACCTGGACCATCACGGTATGGACCCCTCCCTGGGCACCCAAAATACCCCCCCGGGCACCCAAAATACCCCCTGGGGCACCCCAAACACCCCCGGGGCACCCCAAATACCCCCCCGGCAGCAACTGCACCTGGACCATCACGGTACGGACCCCCTCGGGCACCCAAAATATCCTCGGGCACCCAAAATACCCCTGGGCACCCAAAATACCCCGGAAAACCCCAAACACCCCTCGGGCACCCAAAATACCCGGGGCACCCCAAAAACCCCCCGGCAGCAACTGCACCTGGACCATCACGGTACGGACCCCCCCTCGGGCACCCAAAATACCCCTTTGGGTACCCAAAATATCCCCCCGGGCACCCAAAATACCCCCTCGGGCATCCCAAACACACCCGGGCACCCCAAACCCCCGGGGCATCCCAAACACCCCCCCGGCAGCAACTGCACCTGGACCATCACGGTACGGACCCCCCCCGGGCACCCAAAATATCCCCTCGGGCACCCAAAATACCCCCTGGGCACCCCAAATACCCCCGGAAAACCCCAAACTCCCCCGGGGCATCCCAAACACCCCCGGCAGCAACTGCACCTGGACCATCACGGTACGGACCCCCTCAGGCACCCAAAATACCCCTCGGGCACCCAAAATATCCCCTGGTGTCCCCAAAATACCCCAGGGCACCCCAAACACCCCCGGCAGCAACTGCACCTGGACCATCACGGTACGGACCCCCCCCGGGCACCCAAAATACCCCTTTGGGTACCAAAATACCCCCTCGGGCACCCCAAATACCCCCCGGGCACCCAAAATACCCCCGGGACACTCAAAATACCCCCAGGGCACCCCAAACACCCCCCGGCAGCAACTGCACCTGGACCATCACGGTCACGGACCCCCCGGGCACCCTAAATACCCCTCAGGCACCCAAACTCCCCTAGGGCACCCCAAACACCCCGGGACACCAGCTGGTGACCCCAGACCCCATAACATCCCCCATGTCCCCGAGGGCCAACTGGTGAATCCCAGACCCCATAATGTTCCCCCATGTCCCCAATGGCCAGGGTGGTGACCCCCAGACCCCACAACATCCCCCCCCATGTCCCCAAGGGCCAACTGGTGACCCCCAGACCCCATAACGTCCCCAAGGGCCCAGGTGGTGACCCCCAAACCCCACAACACCCCCCCAGGTCCCCGAGGGCCAGGTGGCCCTGTAATGTCCCCAAGGTCCAACTGGTGACCCCCAGACCCCATAACATCCCCCCATGTCCCCAAGGCCCAGCTGGTGACCCCCAAACCCCACAACATCCCCCAGGTCCCCAAGGGCCAGGTGGTCACCCCCAGACCCCATAACATCCCCAAGGGCCAAGTGGTGACCCCCAGACCCCACAACATCCCCCCCAGGTCCCCAAGGACCAGCTGGTGACCCCAGACCCCATAACATCCCCCATGTCCCCAAGGTCCAACTGGTGACCCCCAAACCCCATAACACCCCCCCAGGTCCCTGAGGACCAGGTGGCCCTGTAACGTCCCCAAGGTCCAACTGGTGACCCCCAGACCCCACAACATCCCCCCCATGTCCCCAAGGGCCAGGTGGTGACCCCCAAACCCCATAACGTCCCCAAGGTCCAACTGGTGACCCCCAAACCCCACAACATCCCCCCCCATGTCCCCAAGGGCCAGGTGGTGACCCCCACACCCCATGACATCCCCCCCAGGTCCCCGAGGGCCAGGTGGTGACCCCCAGACCCCACAACATCCCCCCTGCTCCCCGCCAGGTCCCCAAGGGCCAGGTGGTGACCCCCAGACCCCATAATGTCCCCAAGGGCCAGCTGTTGACCCCCAGACCCCATAACACCCCCCCAGGTCCCCGAGGGCCAGGTGGTGACCCCCAGACCCCATAACGTCCCCAAGGGCCCGGGTGGTGACCCCCAGACCCCCTGGTGTCCCCCCAGGTCCCCGAGGGCCAGGTGGTGACCCCCAAACCCCACAACGTCCCCAAGGGCCAAGTGGTGACCCGCAGACCCCCCGGTGTCCCCCCAGGTCCCCGAGGGCCAGGTGGCCCTGTAATGTCCCCAAGGTCCAACTGGTGACACCCAGACCCTGTAATGTCCCCAAAGGCCCAGCTGGTGACCCCCAAACCCCACAACATCCCCCTCCATGTCCCCAAGGGACAGGTGGTGACACCCAGACCCTACAATGCCCCCCCATGTCCCCCCGTGTCCCCAAGGGCCAGCTGGTGACCCCCAGACCCCATAACGTCCCCAAGGGCCAGGTGGTGACACCCAGACCCCACAACATCCCCCCCCATGTCCCCAAGAGCCAGGTGGTGACCCCCAGACCCCACAACATCCCCCCCCATGTCCCCAAGGGCCCAACTGGTGACACCCTCACCCCCCAGTGTCTCCCAGGTCCCTGAGGGCTGGGTGGTGACACCCAGACCCCATAATGTCCCCCCATGTCCCCCCATGTCCCCAAGGGCTCAGGTGGTGACCCCCAGACCCCCTGGTGTCCCCCTGGGTCCCCGAGGGCCCGGGTGGTCACACCCAAACCCCACAACATCCCCCCCCATGTCCCCAAGGCCCAGGTGGTGACACCCAGACCCCATAACGTCCCCAAAGAGGAGGTCCCCAAGGTCACCTCCAGCTGGTGACCCCCAGACCCCATAACATCCCCCCCCCCAGGTCCCCGACGGCCAGGTGACCCTGTAATGTCCCCAAGGTCCAGCTGGTGACACCCAGACCCTGTAATGTCCCCAAGGGCCCGGGTGGTGACCCCCAGACCCCGTAACATCCCCCCATGTCCCTAAGAGCCAGGTGGTGACCCCCAGACCCCCTGGTGTCCCCCCAGGTCCCCGAGGGCCAGGTGGCCCTGTAATGTCCCCAAGGTCCAACTGGTGACCCCCAGACCCCATAACATCCCCCCCAGGTCCCTGAGGGCCAACTGGTGACACCCAGACCCCATAACGTCCCCCCATGTCCCCAAGGGCCAGGTGGTGACCCCCAGACCCCATAACGTCCCCAAGGGCCCGGGTGGTGACCCCCAGACCCCCCGGTGTCCCCCATGTTCCCCAGGGCCAGGTGGTGACCCCCAGACCCCATAACATCCCCCCATGTCCCCAAGGGCCCAGCTGGTGACCCCCAAACCCCACAACATCCCCCCATCCTCAGGTCCCCAAGGGCCAGGTGGTGACCCCCAAACCCCACAACACCCCCCCCAGGTCCGCAAGGGCCAGGTGGTGACCCCCAGACCCCACAACATCCCCCAGGTCCCCAAGGGCCCAGCTGGTGATCCCCAAACCCCACAGCATCCCCCAGGTCCCCGAGGGCCAGGTGGTGACCCCCAGACCCTGTAATGTCCCCCCCATATCTCCCCATGTCCCCAAGGGCTCGGGTGGTCACCCCCAGACCCCATAACATCCCCAAGGTCCAACTGGTGACCCCCAAACCCCACAACATCCCCCATCCCCAGGTCCCCGAGGGCCAGGTGGCCCTGTAATGTCCCCAAGGCTCAGCTGGTGACCCCCAGACCCCACAACACCCCCCCATGTCCCCAAGGGCCCGGGTGGTGACCCCCAGACCCCACAACATCCCCCCCATGTCCCCAAGGCCCAGGTGGTGACACCCAGACCCCATAACGTCCCCAAGGAGTAGGTCCCCAAGGTCACCTCCAGCTGGTGACCCCCAGACCCCACAACATCCCCCCCAGGTCCCCGAGGGCCAGGTGGCCCTGTAATGTCCCCAAGGTCCAGCTGGTGACACCCAGACCCTACAATGTCCCCAAGGCCCAGGGGGTGACACCCAGACCCCATAACACCCCCCCATGTCCCCAAGGGCCAGCTGGTGACCCCCAGACCCCACAACATCCCCCCCATGTCCCCAAGGGCCAGGTGGTGACCCCCACACCCCATAACATCCTCAAGGTCCAACTGGTGACCCCCAGACCCCATAACATCCCCCCCAGGTCCCCGAGGGCCAGGTGGTGATACCCCCACCCCATAACGTCCCCCATGTCCCCCATGTCCCCAAGGCCCAGCTGGTGACACCCCAAACCCCTAACACCCCCATGTCCCCAAGGGCTTAGGTGGTCACCCCAGACCCCATAGCGTCCCGAGGGCCCAGTTGGTGACCCCTAGACCCCTGGTGTCCCCCATGTCCCCAAGGGCCCAGCTGGTGACACCCAGACCCCACAATGTCCCCCCATGTCCCCAAGGGCCAGCTGGTGACCCCCAGACCCCCTGGTGTCCCCCCAGGTCCCCGAGGGCCAGGTGGCCCTGTAATGTCCCCAAGGGTCAGGTGGTGACCCCCAGACCCCCCGGTGTCCCCCCAGGTCCCCGAGGGCCAGGTGGTGACCCCCAAACCCCATAACATCCCCCAGGTCCCCGAGGGCCAGGTGGTGACCCCAGACCCCATAACATCCCCCCAGGTCCCTGAGGTCCAACTGGTGACCCCCAGACCCCATAACGTCCCCAAGGTCCAACTGAGTGACCCTCAAACCCACAGCACCCCCAGGTCCCCGAGGGCCAGGTGGTGACCCCCAGACCCCACAACACCCCCCCAGGTCCCCGAGGGCCAGGTGGTGACCCCCAGACCCCATAACGTCCCCAAGGGCCCAGCTGGTGACCCCCAAACCCCGTAATGTCCCCAAGGGCCAGCTGTTGACCCCCAGACCCCCTGGTGCCCCCAGGTCCCCGAGGCCAGGTGGCCCTGTAATGTCCCCAAGGGCCCGGGTGGTGACCCCCAGACCCCACAACATCCCCCAGGTCCCCGAGGGCCAGGTGGTGACCCCCAGACCCCATAGCACCCCCATGTCCCCAAGAGCCAGGTGGTGACCCCAGACCCCCTGGTGCCCCCAGGTCCCCAAGGTCCAACTGGTGACACCCAGACCCCACAATGTCCCCCATGTCCCCAAGGGCCAGGTGGTGACCCCCAAACCCCACAGCACCCCCCAGGTCCCCAAGGGCCAGGTGGTGACACCCAGACCCCATGACATCCCCCCATGTCCCCAAGGGCCAGGTGGTGACCCCCAGACCCATAGCGTCCCCCATGTCCCCAAGGGCCAGCTGGTCACACCCAGACCCTGTAATGTCCCCAAGGGCCAGGTGGTGACCCCCAGACCCCACAACGTCCCCCCATGTCCCCAAGGGCCAGCTGGTCACACCCAGACCCTGTAATGTCCCCAAGGGCCAGGTGGTGACCCCCAGACCCCACAACATCCCCACGTGTCCCCAAGGGCCAGGTGGTGACCCCCAAACCCCACAACACCCCCAGGTCCCCAAGGTCCAACTGGTGACCCCAACACCCACTAACACCCCTCAGGTCCCCAAGGGCCAGGTGGTCACACCCTCATCCCCAGTGTCCCACCCAGACCCACAATGTCCCCCATGTCCCCAAGGCCCAGCTGGTGACCCCCAGACCCCACAACACCCCCAGGTCCCCAAGGACCCAGCTGGTGACCCCCAGACCCTACAACATCCCCCCATGTCCCCAAGGTCCAACTGGTGACCCCCAGACCCCATAACATCCCCCAGGTCCCTGAGGGCCAGCTGGTGACACCCTCACCCCCAGTGTCCCACCCAGACCCCATAACATCCCCCATGTCCCCGAGGGCCAGCTGGTGACCCCAGACCCTATAACATCCCCCAGGTCCCCCATGTCCCCAAGGGCCAGCTGGTGACCCCCAAACCCACAACACCCCCCCAGGTCCCCAAGGGCCAGCTGGTGACACCCAGACCCCATAATGTCCCCTCATGTCCCCCCATGTCCCCAAGGGCTCAGCTGGTGACCCCCAGACCCCATAACATCCCCCAGGTCCCCGAGGGCCAGGTGGTGACCCCCAGACCCCACAACATTCCCCCATGTCCCCAAGGGCCAGCTGGTCACCCCCAGACCCCCCGGTGCCCCCTCAGGTCCCCGAGGGCCAGCTGGTGACCCCCAGACCCCCTGGTGTCCCCCCAGGTCCCCAAGGGCCCAGGTGGTCACCCCCACACCCCATAACACCTCCTCAGGTCCCCGAGGGCCAGGTGGCCCTGTAATGTCCCCAAGGTCCAACTGGTGACCCCCAGACCCCTGGTGTCCCCCAGGTCCCCAAGGCCCAGCTGGTGACCCCCAAACCCCACAACATCCCCCCCCATGTCTCCCCATGTCCCCAAGGGCTCGGGTGGTCACCCCCAGACCCCATAACATCCCCAAGGTCCAGCTGGTCACCCCCAGACCCCCCGGTGTCCCCCCAGGTCCCTGAGGGCCAGGTGGCCCTGTAATGTCCCCAAGGTCCAGCTGGTGACCCCCACCCCACAACGTCCCCCAGGTCCCTCAGGGCCAGCTGGTGAACCCCAAACCCCATAACACCCCCTCAGGTCCCCGAGGGCCAGGTGGTGACCCCCAGACCCCCCGGTGTCCCCCCCAGGTCCCCGAGGGCCAGGTGGCCACCCTGTCCTTCCGCGTCTTCGACCTGGAGCCGGACCCTCTGTGCCGCTTCGACTCCCTCTCGGTGTTCGGGGGGCACGGCCCGGGGGCGCCGCTCCTGGGGCGTTTCTGCGGCACCTTCCGCCCGGGGGCTCTGCGGGCCCCCCAAAACCGCCTCAGGCTGCGCATGGAGAGCGACGGCGGCACGGCGGCAGGGGCTTCCTGGCCTGGTTCAGCGCCCGGCAGCCCCCGCCAGCGGTGAGAGAGACCCCCCCCTCAAATACGGGGGAGATGGTTTGTTGGGGGGCACCCAAAAAATACCTGGGAGACCCCCTCTTCAAATACGGGGGAGATGGTTTGTTGGGGAGCACCCAAACCCTTAGAGAGACCCCCTCCTCAAATGCGGGGGTGATGGTTTGTAGGGTGCCCCCCAAAAAACCTGGGAGACCCCCTCCTTAAATATGGGGGTGATGGTTTTGTAGGGTGCCCCCCAAAAACCTTAGAGACCCCCTCCTCAAATATGGGGGAGATGGTTTGTTGGGGCGCCCCCAAAAACCTTAGAGAGACCCCCTCTTCAAATACGGGGGTGATGGTTTGTTGGGGCACCCAAAAATACCTGAGAGACCCCCTCCTTAAATACGGGGGTGATGGTTTGTTGGGGGGCCCCCCAAAAAATCCTGGGAGACCCCCTCTTCAAATATGGGGGTGATGGTTTGTTGGGGCGCCCCAAAAATCCTGAGAGACCCTCTCCTCAATTATGGGGGTGATGGTTTGTTGGGGCGCCCCCCAAAAATCCTGGGAGACCCCCTCCTCAAATACGGGGGAGATGGTTTTTTGGGGGGCCCCCAAAAAATCCTGGGAGATCCCCTCTTCAAATACGGGGGAGATTTTTTTGGGGGCACCCCCCAAAAAACCTGGGAGACCCCCTCCTCAAATATGGGGGAGATGATTTTGTTGGGGTGCCCCCCAAAAAACCTGAGAGACCCCCTTTAAATACGGGGGAGATGATTTTTTGGGGTGCCCCCCAAAAAATCCTGAGAGACCCCCTCTTCAAATATGGGGGAGATGGTTTTGTAGGGTGACCCCCAAAAACCTTAGAGAGACCCCCTCTTCAAATACGGGGGTGATGGTTTGTTGGGGGCCCCAAAAAAATCCTGGGAGACCCCCTCCTCAAATACGGGGGTGATGGTTTGTTGGGGCGCCCCCCAAAAACCTTAGAGACCCCCTCCTCAAATACGGGGGAGATGGTTTTTTGGGGACCCCCAAAAACCTTAGAGAGACCCCCTCCTCAAATACGGGGGTGATGGTTTTTTGGGGCACCCCCCAAAAAACCTGGGAGACCCCCTCCTCAAATATGGGGGTGATGCCTTTTTGGGGGACCCCCAAAAACCTTAGAGACCCCCTCCTCAATTATGGGGGTGATGGTTTGTTGGGGCACCCCCCAAAAAACCTGGGAGACCCCCTCCTCAAATACGGGGGAGATGATTTTTTGGGGCCCCCCAAAAACCTTAGAGAGACCCCCCCTTAAATATGGGGGAGATGGTTTGTTGGGGCGCCCCCCAAAAACCTTAGAGAGACCCCCTCCTCAAATACGGGGGTGATGATTTTTTGGGGCACCCCCCAAAAACCTTAGAGACCCCCTCCTTAAATATGGGGGAGATGATTTTTTGGCGCCCCCCAAAAACCTTAGAGAGACCCCCTCCTCAAATACGGGGGAGATGGTTTTTTGGGGACCCCAAAAAATCCTGGGAGACCCCCACCCCCCTTAAATATGGGGGTGATGCTTTGTTGGGGCGCCCCCCAAAAAACTGGGGAGACCCCCTCCTCAATTACGGGGGAGATGATTTTTGGGGCGCCCCCCAAAAAATCCTGGGAGACCCCCACCCCCCTTTAAATACGGGGGTGATGATTTTTTGGGGCACCCCCCCAAAATACCTGGGAGACCCCCACCCCCCTTTAAATATGGGGGAGATGATTTTGGGGCCTCCAAAAAATTGGGGAGGGGGTGGGTGAGACTGCCGCCCGGTGGAGAGCAGGGACAATCCCAAAAGGTGGGGGTGACCCCCAAAATCAACCCCAAAAAAAAAAATCCTAAAGGTTTACAGAAACCCCCTGGAGTTTCACGGAGACCCCAAATCCTATAGGACCCCCCTCAAAATCACTCCCCTGAGCGGAGCTGCCAAAAATACACAGAGACCCCCAAAAACACCCAATCTTCATGGGAGCCTCGTGGAGACCCCAAAATTCATGGAACTCCCCCAAAAAAAAAAACCCTAAAGGTTTATAGGAAACCCCACCCTGGAGTTACACAGAGACCCCAAATCCTATAGGGAGACCCCCCCCTCAAAATCCCTCCCCCTCCTCACCACGGAGCTGCAAAAATACCCCCAAACACACCCAAACCTCCATGGGAGCCTCGTAGAACCCCAAAATTCATGAGCTCCTTCCCCCCCAAAAAAAAAACCTAAAGGTTTGAGAGAAACCCCCCGGAGTTACACGGAGACCCCAAATCCTATAGGGGACCCCCCTCAAAATCACTCCCCCTGAACGGAGCTGCCAAAAATACCCCAAAAACACCCAAATCTTCATGGGAGCCTCGTGGAGACCCCAAAATTCATGGAGCTCCCCCAAAAAAAACCCTAAAGGTTTATAGGAAACTCCACCCTGGAGTTACATGGAGACCCCAAATCCTATAGAGACACCCCCTCAAAATCCCTCCCCCCCACCACGGAGCTGTGAAAAGAAAAGGAAAAGTGTGAGGAAAAATAAAAAAGGGGGAAGAGGAGGGGGGGAAATTTGGAACTGAGAATGGAAAAGGAGGGGAAAATGGGGGGAGTGCGAGGAGAAAAGGGGAAAGAATGGGGGGGAAAGGGTGAGGGGGATAAAGGAAAAAAAGAAAAGGCTGAGGGAAAAAAAAGGAGGGAAAAGCTGAGGGGATAAAGAGGGAAAATAAGGGGGAAAAACTGAGGGGAGAAGGCAGGAAAAGTGTGAGGGGGGAAAGGAAAAATAGAGGGAAAACTGTGAGGGGGAAAATCTGTGAGGAAAAGTAGAGGAGGAAAAACTGAAAGTGGGGGAAAAGTGTGGGAGGGGAAATGAGGGGGAAAATGAGGAGGAAAAGAGAAAATGAGGGGGAAAAATAAGATGGGAAATGAGGGAGGAAAATGAGGGGAAAGAGGAAAATGAGGGGGGAAAATGAGGGGAGAAAAATGAGGGGAGAAAATGAGGAGGGAAAGGGAAAAATGAGGGGAAAAATGAGGAAGAGAGAGAGAGGAAAATAGAGGGGAAAATGAGGAAAATGAGGGGGAAAATGAGGGGGGAAAATGAGAGGAAAGAGGAAGGAGGAAAATGAGGGGAGAAAAATGAAGGAAAAGGAGGAGGGAAAAATGAGGGGGAAAATGAGGGGGGAAAATGAGGGGAGAAGGGGAGAATGAGAGGGGAAAAGGAAAATGAGGGGAAAAGAGGGGAAAAATGAGGGGAAAATGAGGGGAAAATGAGGGAAAATGAGGGGAAAATGAGAGGGGAAAATGAGGAGGGAAAATGAGGGGAAAAATGAGGGGGAAAATGGGAAAATGAGGGGAAAATGAGGGGGAAAATGAGGGGGGAAAATGAGGGGGAAAGGGAAAATGAGGGGGAAAATGAGGGGGAAAATGAGGGGGAAAATGAGGGGGAAAATGGGGAAAATGAGGGGAAAAATGAGGGGAAAAATGAGGGGGAAAAATGAGGGGGAAATGGGGAGAATGAGGGGGAAAATGAGGGAGAGAATGAAGGGGAAAATGAGGGGGAAAATGAGGGAAAATGAGGGGGAAAGGGGGAAAATCTGTGAGGGGGAAAATGAGGGGGAAAATCTGTGAGGGGAAAGGAAAATGAGGGGGAAAAGGAGGGGAAAATGAGGGAACCTGAGAGGAAAAGAGGGGGAAAACTGAGGAAGAGGTTGAAAGAGGAAAAGAGTGAGGGGGATGTGGCAGGAAAATGTGAAGAGAAACGTGGCCCAAATGGAGGGGAAAAGGGAAGGGAGGGAAAAAAACCGCCGGGGGAGAGCAGAGCCAACCGCAAATCCTCATGGACAACCCCAAATCCCCCTCAAAAAACCCCCAAAATCCACACAGGGACCCCCTCCCCAACCCAGCCCAACCCTTTTGCAGGGCCCCCAGGACAGCGGCGCTCAGGGCTCAAAATAAGCCCCATTTTTTTCGGGAGTCCTGGCACTATTTTGATGGTGAGTACGACCCCCCCCCAAAAAAAAACCCCAAAACTTTACAAAAAACATTCTTGGGGGGGGGTCTTGCACCCCAAAAATCCATCCCCCTCTCCCCCAATTTCCCCCTCCAAGACCTCATTTATTTTTTTTTTGGGGGGGGGTCTCAGGGACAGAGGAGTTGCCGGCGGTGCAGGAAATTTGGGGAGGGGGTCCCAGGGTGTTTTTACCCCCAAAATGTGACCCCACCCCACCCCCTTCTCTTCTCCTAGAGCACCAATTTTGTGGGGGGCGGCTGGAGAAGCCCCAGGGGAGCCTGAACACCCCGAATTGGCCCGAGGAGAATTATCCCCCCGGCATCAGCTGCTCCTGGCACATCGTGGGACCCCCCGACAAGGTTTGGGGGGTCCTGGGGGGTTGGGGGGGTTCATAAAAGTGGGGGGTTTATTTTTGGGGGGGTCAGGAGGGGTTTGAGGGGGCTCAGGAGGGGGTTTTGGGGGAGACCCAAGGAGGTTTGGGGGTCCTGGGGGTTGGGGGGTTCATAAAGAGGGGTTTTTATTTTTGGGGGGTCAGGGGTGGTTTGGGGGGTCAGGAGGGGTTTGGGGGGTCAGGAGGGGTTTTTGGGGGGGCTCAGGAGGGGTTTTGGGGAGACACCAGGAGGTTTGGGGTCCTGGGGAGTTGGAGGGGATTCATAAAAGTGGGGGTTTTATTTTTTGGGGGGTCAGGGGGTGGTTTGGGGGGTCAGGAGGGGTTTGGGGGGTCAGGAGGGGTTTGGGGGGGTCAGGAGGGGTTTTGGGGAGACCCCAGGAGGTTTGGGGGTCCTGGGGTTGGGGGATTCATAAAAGTGGGGGTTTTATTTTTTGGGGGGGTCAGGGGTGGTTTTGGGGAGACACCCAGGAGGTTTGGGGGGTCCTGGGGGTTGGGGGGATTCAGAAGGTTGGGGGTTTATTTTTGGGGGTCAGGGGGTGGTTTGGGAGGTCAGGGGTGGTTTGAGGGGGTTAGGAGGGGTTTGAGGGGGGTCAGGAGGGGTTGGGAGGTCAGGAGGGGTTTGGGGGAGACCCGAGGAGGTTTGGGGGGTCCTGGGGGTTGGGGGGATTCAGAAAGGTGGGGTTTTTATTTTTGGGGGTCAGGGGTGGTTTGAGGGGTCAGGAGGGGATTTTGGGGGTCAGGAGGGGGTTTGGGGAGACACCAGGGAGGGTGGGGGTGAGGGGGTTCATAAAGTGGCATTTTTATTTTTGAGGGGGGTCAGGAGGGGTTTTGGGGAGACCCAAGGAGGTTTGAGGGGGTCCTGGGGTTGGGGGATTCATAAAGTGGGGTTTTATTTTGGGGTGGGGGTCAGGAGGGTTTGCAGGTGTCGGTCCTGGGGGGGCGGGGGAGGAGGGAATCCGAGGGGATTTGAGTGGGACAGGGAGGTTTTTTTTTTTGGGGGGTCAGAAATCATTTGAGGGCCGGGAGTGGTTAAGAAAGACCGGATTGACGCGGGGAGGAGAATTTTGGGAGTTCTCAGGAGGGTTATTGATGGGAGGGGGTTCAGAGGGGTGGGGTGAGCGCTGAGCCTGATTTTTGGGGGTCTGTGGCCTCTAACCCCCAAAAGGTGGTGGAGCTGCGGTTCGGGAAGTTCGACGTGGAGCCCGACCCCCACTGCCGCTACGACTACGTGGCCGTCTTCGAGGGGGGGGCTCGGGACGACGCGCGGCGCCTCGGGAGGTTCTGCGGGAGGAGACCCCCGGGTGAGCCCCTCCCCCTCCTCCCCCCTCCCCAGAGCTCGGCCGAGCCCCCGAACCTCCCCAGCCACCCCCAAACCTTCCCGGATCACCCAAACCCCCCACCCTGAACGCCCCCACCCATCCCCCAAACAAGCCTGACCCCCAACCAGCCTGACCCCCACCCCGCCCCCACCACCCCGTGATCCCCCCTCTGTGACCACCCCCAACCCTCCTTGGACCCCACTCAGGACCCTCCCAACACCCCCCAGCCCAAATTCCTCCTGATCCCTCAAACCATCCTGACCCCACCCCCAACTCAACTTCCACCCTCCTGACCCCCTCCCCTCCCCTTTTACCCTCCCAACCTCCCCAAACCCACCCAGGACCCCAAAACCCCCTTCCGACCCTCCCCGCCCCCACCCAAATTCCTCCTGATCCCTCCAAACCATCCTTGCCCCCCTCCTCAACTTCCACCTCCTGATCCCCTCCCCTCCCCTTTTACCCTCCCAACCTCCCCAAACCCACCCAGGACCCCCAAAACCCCCTTCCGACCCTCCCCCCAAATTCCTCCTGATCCCTCCAAACCATCCTGACCCCCACCTCAACTTCCACCCCTCTGACCCCCTCTCCCCCTCCCCTTTACCCTCCCCACCTCCCCAAACCACCGGGACCCCCAAATTCCTCCTGATCCTCCAAACCATCCTGACCCCCTCCCCAAACCCCTCCCCAAAACCTCCCTTTTACCCTCCCAACCTCCCCAAACCCACCCGAGACCCCCTACAGCCCCCAAAACCCCCTCCTCACCCTCCCACCCCCAAATTCCTCCTGATCCCTCCAAACCATCCTGACCCCCCAAACCCAAACCCAAACCCAAACCCTCCTTTTACCCTCTCAACCTCCCCAAACCCACCCGGGACCCCCACACCCCCCAAAACTCCCTCCCCCTCCCCACCCCCAAATTCCTCCTGATCCCTCCAAACCATCCTGACCCCCTCCCCAAACCCAAACCCAAACCCAAACCCAAACCCTCCCCTTTACTTTCCCAACCTTCCCAAACCCACCCGGGACCCCCAAAACCCCTCCCACCCCCCAAAACCCCCTTCCGACCCTCCCCACCCTTCCCACCCAAATTCCTCCTGATCCCTCCAAACCATCCTATCCCCCCCACCCCCTCAACTCCCACCCTCCTGAACCCCTCTCCCCCTCCCCAGACCCAAACCCTCCCCTTTACCCTCCCAACCTCCCCAAACCCACCCGGGAACCCCCAAAACCCCCCTTCCGACCCTCCCACCCCCCACCCCAAATTCCTCCTGATCCCTCCAAACCATCCTGACCCCCAAACCCAAACCCAAACCCAAATCCTCCTTTTACCCTCCCAACCTCCCCAAACCCCACCAGGACCCCCAAAACCCCCTTCCCACCCTCCCACCCCCAAATTCCTCCTGATCCTCCAAACCATCCTGACCCCCCTCAACTTCCACCCCTCCTGACCCCCTCCCCAAACCCAAACCCAAACCCTCCCCTTTTACCCTCCCAACCTCCCCAAACCCACCCGGGACCCCCAAAACCCCCCCACACCCCTCCCACCCACACCCCCACCCTGAACTCCCCCAAACCGCCTCCCAACCACCTGAACCCCCTCCCACCCTTCCCAACCCCCTCTCCCCAAATCGCAGCCCCATCGTCTCCTCCACGCCGGAGCTGCTGGTGCAGTTCGTGTCCGACCTGAGCGTCACCGCCGACGGCTTCTCCGCCTCCTACACCCCTGCGGGACCCTGGGAGCCCCGAGACCCCCAGCCCCGGGAAAACCCCGGGAGTGTTGGCAAGGAGAGCCGCCCCAGCCCCCAAAGCGGAGTTTCCCCCGCGACCCCTCCCCGTGGGGACCCCTGTCCCCAGCGGTGCCGGCGAGCCGGGACCCTCCAGAGCAACTTTTGCAGCAGCGATTTTGGTGAGAAACCCCCCTCACCCCGGGAATTGGGGTGGGGACACCCTGAAAGGGGAAGAAACCCTCTAAAATTGAGGGAAACGCCCCAAAAAATGGGGTTATGGGGGGAGGGGGAGGTGAGACTCCTAAAAGAAGGGGTGGGGTGGGTGGGGAGACCCCAAAATGGGGTTGGGGGGTGGGAATGTGGTGACCCCCAAAATTGAAGGATGAGGGTGGGTGGGAGACCCCAAAATGGGGGAGAAAATCCTCTAAAATTGAGGAAACGCCCCCAAAAATGGGGTTATGGGTGGGGAGGGGGAGGTGAGAGCCCTAAAGAAGGGGGTGGGGATGGGTGGGAGACCCCAAAATGAGGGGGAGGGTGGAATGGTGGTGACCCCCAAAAATTGAAGGATGAGGGTGGGTGGGAGACCCCCAAAATGGGGGGAAGAAACCCTTTAAAATTGAGGGAAACTCGCCCAAAAATGGGGTTATGGGTGGGGGAGGGGGAGGTGAGAGCCCTAAAAGAAGGGGGTGGGGGTGGGGTGGGAGACCCCAAAATGGGGGATGGGGAGAATGGTGGTGACCCCCAAAAATTGAAGGATGAGGTGGGTGGAGACCCCAAAATGGGGAGTGGGAATGGTGGTGAAACCCCCCAAAAATGGGGTTATGGGGGAGGAGGAGCTGAGGACCCCTAAAAGAAGGGGGTGGGGGTGGATGGGAGACCCCAAAATGAGGGGGTGGGGGGGTGGAATGGTGGTGCAACCCCCAAAAATGGGGTTATGGGGGAGGGGAGGTGAGGACCCCTAAAAGGAGGGGGTGAGGGTGGGTGGGGAGACCCCAAAATGGGGGTGGGGGTGGGAATGGTGGTGAAACCCCAAAAAATTGAAGGATGAGGGTGGGTGGGAGACCCCAAAATGGGGAGTGGGGATGGTGATGACCCCCAAAATTGGAGGATGAGGGGGTGGGAGACCCCAAAATGGGGGGATGGTGAGGAACCCCAAAAAATTGAGGGATGAGGGTGGGTGGGAGACCCCAAAATGGGGGTGGGAATGGTGGTGAAACCCCCCAAAAATGGGGTTATGGGGGGAGGGGGAGCTGAGGAGCCCTAAAAGAAGGGGGTGGGGGTGGGTGGGAGACCCCAAAATGAGGGGGTGGGGGGTGGGAAGGACCCCCACCCCAAAAAAAAAATTGAGGGATGAGGGTGAGTGGGAGACCCCAAAATGGGGGGGATGGTGGTGAAACCCCCCAAAAAAAATTGAAGGATGAGGGTGGGTGGGAGACCCCCAAAATGGGGGAGGGGGTGGGAATGGTAGTGACCCCCCTAAAAATCGAAAGATGAGGGTGAGGACCCCCCCCAAAATGTGGTTATGGGGTGGGTGTGGCTGCACCTCCCCCCCCCCAAAATCTACCAGTTGGAAATTGGGGGGGGGTTGATTTTGACAATTTGGGGGGCCTGACCTCCCCCTCCCCCCTCAGTGGTGACCGGGACGGTGAAATCGCTGTCGAGGGGACCCCCCCAGGAGCCGGGCTGGGCCGTGGTGTCCCTGCTGAGCATCCCCAAGGTCGGGGGGCTGGGGGTCCCCACCCCACCCAAGGGGGCCACGCTGCGCCTGCAGCTGCCCTGCCGCCTCTGTCCCGCCCTCAAGAAAGGTGGGTGCCCTCTGGGGGGGCTTGGGTGGGGTCTTTATGCCCCCTCCAAACCCCTGACATCCTCCTCTCAATCCCCCCTCCCCAAAAAAATTCTCTTCCAGGCTCCAGCTACGTCCTGATGGGGCGGCTGGGGGGGGACGGGGGGGCCCTGCTGCCCCCCGACTCCTTCGTGGTGCCCTACCGGCCACAGCAGCAGCAGCAGGTGCTAAACAACCTCAGCAAGAGGCCGTGTCGGGGGAGCCCCTGAGAGAACCCCCAAAACTCCCCAAAATTGGGAGCACCCCCCAATCACAGATATGCAAATAAAGGGTGCAGAGATGGAGAGTGTGAGTGATGAGGAGGGGACACACAGATGGACCCCCCACCCATCATAGGGAGCCCCGCGTCGTGTCCCCCCATTTTAAATCCCCTTTTTAAATCGACGCGGCTCCTTTAAGAGAAAGCAGGGGGCGTGGTTTATAGGAGGGGGCGTGGCCTTCTCCTGATTGGCTGCCGTGGGGTTCCTCCTCCTCCTCGCGGCTTGTCAATCATCGCGCCCGCCAGCTGTGATTGGTGAATCTGCTGTGCCCCGCCCCTCCATGCCGACTTTTATTTACTCTAAACCGGATTGGTTGATGCCGTGTCAATCACGCTCCTTAGCCCCGCCTTCTCGAACGCCATTGGCTGACTCCCTACAAACAGCCGGGTGGAGGCGTTGCCTGGCAACGAGCCCCGCCCTCTCGCTCGCGATTGGCGGCGATCTGACCCTCCCTGCGGTCTCCGCGCCGCCATTGGTTCCCCTTCCCGTCCATCAAAAAGCCCTGCCCTCGCCTTTTCCTATTGGCCGCCCTTCCGCGCATCCCGCGCTCCGATTGGCCGCGAGCAGGCCCCGCCCCCCCCGCGGCGGGGCCCGGAAGCGTCCCCGGCTCAGTCTGGCGGCGGCGGCCGCGGCGAGCGGAGCTCCGGGCCCGCCATGGCCGCGGGGGCCCTCACGGCCTCGGGGCCCGCCACGGCCGCGCTGCCGCCTCTCCTGGACCGCCCTCCCGGCGGAGCCGGCACCGAGCGCGCCCTGGAGGAAGCGGCGGCCTCCGGCACCCTCATCCTGGCCGGGCGGAGGCTCCGCGCCTTCCCCGCGGCGGCCGCGCGGCGCTGGGACCTGAGCGACACCACGCAGGCCGGTGAGGGGAATCCCGCACCGGGGGTCGCTCTGGGGGTGCCCAGGAGCCTCCCGGAGCCCGCGGGAGGCGCCGGGGGGCGGCTGAGGAGGAGCCGGGACGGGCCGAACCGGAGCGCCTGGTCCGGGCGGTCCGGGCGGCCTCGGCTTCCCCCTCCCAGCCTTGGGGGGGAAAACCGGCCCTGGGGGGGGGAACCGCTGATCAAGGGAGGGGATGGGGGGCAGCCCCGGGTGGGGGGATTTGAGGTGGCGTCGGCATCGCTGAACCCCGCGGATCCCTTGTCCTTGTCCCCGGGGATCTCTGGCCACATCAGGTGAACCCCTGTCAACTGTCCCCCCATCCCTGGGGATCCTTGTCCCCCACCTGTCCCCCCTCCCTGAGGATCCTTGTCCCCCACCTGTCCCCCTCCCTGGGGATCCTTGTCCCCACCTGTCCCCCCTCCTAAGGATCCTTGTCCCCCACCTGTCCCCCTCCTGGGGATCCTTGTCCCCACCTGTCCCCCTCCCTAAGGATCCTTGTCCCCTATCTGTCCCCCTCCTAAGGATCCTTGTCCCCTATCTGTCCCCCTCCCTAAGGATCCTTGTCCCCACCTGTCCCCCTCCTGGGGATCCTTGTCCCCCACCTGTCCCCCATCCTGGGGATCCTTGTCCCCACCTGTCCCCCCTCCCTAAGGATCCTTGTCCCCACCTGTCCCCCTTCCTGGGGATCCTTGTCCCCACCTGTCCCCCCTCCTGGGGATCCTTGTCCCCACCTGTCCCCCATTCCTGGGGATCTTTGTCCCCACCTGTCCCCCCTCCTGGGGATCCTTGTCCCCACCTGTCCCCCCTCCCTAAGGATCCTTGTCCCCCCTCCCTGGGGATCCTTGTCCCCACCTGTCCCCCTCCTGGGGATCCTTGTCCCCACCTGTCCCCCATCCCTGGGGATCCTTGTCCCCACCTGTCCCCCTCCTGAGGATCCTTGTCCCCACCTGTCCCCCTCCCTAGGGATCCTTGTCCCCACCTGTCCCCTCCCTAAGGATCCTTGTCCCCACCTCCCTGGGGATCCTTGTCCCCACCTGTCCCCCCTCCCTGGGGATCCTTGTCCCCACCTGTCCCCATTCCTGGGGATCCTTGTCCCCACCTGTCCCCCTCCCTAAGGATCCTTGTCCCCACCTGTCCCCATTCCTGGGGATCCTTGTCCCCACCTGTCCCCATTCCTGGAGTTCCCTGCCACCTGTCCTTGGCCCTGGGGATCCCTGTCCCTCTCCCTGGGGATCCTTTTACTCCATCAGTCCCCTTCCCTAGGGATCCCTGCCCTTCTCCCTGGGGATCTCTGGCCACATCAGATGATCCCCTGTCACCTGTCCCCCTCCCTGAGGATCCTTGTCCCCACCTGTCCCCCCTCCCTGGGGATCCTTGTCCCCACCTGTCCCCCCTCCCTAAGGATCCTTGTCCCCACCTGTCCCCCTCCTAGGGATCCTTGTCCCCACCTGTCCCCCTCCTAGGATCCTTGTCCCCACCTGTCCCCCTCCCTAAGGATCCTTGTCCCCACCTGTCCCCCATTCCTGGAGTTCCCTGCCACCTGTCCTTGGCCTGGGGATCCTAGGATCCTTTACTCCATCAGTCCCCTTCCCTAGGGATCCCTGTCCTTCTCCCTGGGGATCTCTGGCCACATCAGGTGATCCCCTGTCACCTGTCCCCCCATCCCTGGGGATCCTTGTCCCCCACCTGTCCCCATTCCTGGAGTTCCCTGCCACCTGTCCCTCTCCCTGGGGATCCTTTTACTCCATCAGTCCCCATCCCTAGGGTTCCCTGTCCTTCTCCCTGGGGATCTCTGGCCAGATCAGTCCCCATCCCTGGGGATCCCCAATCCCTGAGTCTCTCAGTTATTTGTCCCCCATCTGTCCCCATTCCTGGAGTTCCCTGCCACCTGTCCTTGGCCCTGGGGATCCCTGGGAACCCCTTTACTCCATCAGTCCCCTTCCCTAGGGTTCCCTGTCCTTCTCCCTGGGGATCTCTGGCCACATCAGATGATCCCCTGTCACCTGTCCCCCCATCCCTGGGGATCCCTGCCCTTCTCCCTGGGGATCTCTGGCCAGATCAGTCCCCATCCCTGGGGATCCCCAATCCCCGAGTCTCTCAGTTATTTGTCCCCCATCTGTCCCCATTCCTGGAGTTCCCTGCCACCTGTCCTTGGCCCTGGGGATCCCTGTCCCTCTTCCTGGGGATCCTTTTACTCCATCAGTCCCCTTCCCTAGGGTTCCCTGTCCTTCTCCCTGGGGATCTCTGGCCAGATCAGTCCCCATCCCTGGGGATCCCCAATCCCTGAGTCTCTCAGTTATTTGTCCCCCATCTGTCCCCATTCCTGGAGTTCCCTGCCACCTGTCCTTGGCCCTGGGGAATCCCTGGGAACCCCTTTACTCCATCAGTCCCCTTCCCTAGGGATCCCTGCCCTTCTCCCCGGGGATCTCTGGTCCTATTAGTCCCCAATCCCCGAGTCTCTCAGTTCTTTGTCCCCCCACCCTCGGGGTTCCCTATCCCTGTGTCCCCCCCACCCCAGATCTATCCCGGAACCGTTTCGGGGAGGTCCCCGAGGCCGCCTGCCACCTCTTCTCGCTGGAGGGGCTCATCCTGCACCACAACTGCCTGCGCAGCGTCCCCCCTGCCATCGCCAACCTCCAGGCCCTGTCCCACCTGGACCTCAGGTACCACCCCCTTTAACACTGGGGAGTATTTAGGACACAACAACCCCCTCTGTGACCCCACCTCGATGTTCTGTCCCCCCTTTTCCAGCCGGAACCAGCTGAGCTCGCTGCCCCCCTGCCTGTGCCTGCTGCCCCTGCGCGTCCTCAACGCCAGCAACAACCGCCTGGCTCAGCTGCCCCCGAACCTGGGGGCCCTGCGGACGCTGCGGCAGCTGGTGAGGGATGTGGGGAGTTGGGGAACCCCCCCTTGGGGCTGGGATTGATGCCCCCCAACACCATTTTCACCACCTTTTTTAACCTGCAGGACGTGGGGTGTAACCGGCTGCGGGCGCTGCCCCCCGGGCTGGGGCAGCTGCGGGCGCTGCGGGACCTCAACCTGCGGCGGAACCAACTCACGGCGCTGCCCCCGGGTGGGTGGAGGAGCTTTTGAGGGAGGATATTTGTTATTTTGTTATTTGTTATTTTGTTATTTTGTTATTTAAAACCTCCCCTCTTCTCCAGAGCTCTCCGAGCTGCCCCTGGTCCGCCTGGATTTCTCCTGTAACCGGGTGGTCGCCATCCCGCGCTGCTTCCGCAGGCTCCGGCACCTCCAAACCCTCCTGGCCGACAACAACCCCCTCCAGTTCCCCCCAGCCCAGGTGAGCAGGGACCACAGGGGGGGATCTACCCCCCCAAAAAACCCCCCACTTAACCCCCCCCTTGGTCCCTCCCCAGGTTTGCCTGAAGGGCAAAGTTCACATCTTCAAATACCTGCACTTGGAGCCCGAGGCTGCCGCCCACCCTCCCCCGGCGTGGTAAGGGGGGTTCAAACAGGGGGGACCCTGCTAAATATCCCCCTCCCCACCCCTTGCTGGTTTTGGGGGTCTCCCAGCACTGTTTTGCCCCCTTCCCCACAGCCCCCCAGACGAGCTGTGCCCCCTCAGGCAGCGGGGAGGGCTCGACTCCGGCTTCCACAGCGTGGACAGCGGCAGCAAGCGCTGGTCGGGGAACGAGGTGGGATCTGGGGGGGGGCTCCAGGGGGGGAATTTTGGGGTCTCAGGGGGAATTTTGGGGTCTCAGGGGGAAGTTTGGGGTGTTCCCCAAGCCAACCCCCCCACTTTCCTGCGTCCCCTTTCCCACCCTTTCAGTCCACGGACGAGTTTTCGGAGCTGCCCCCCCAGCTCAGGGAGAGTCGCAGCAGGGCAGGTGAGGGGGGTGGGGACCCTCGGGGACCCCCCCATCCCCCCTGGGGTGGTGTCACCCCCTCCTCCCCCAGGGACCGCCTGTCACCCACCTTGTCCCCACAGGTGGTGACAGCGACCCGGAGCTGGTGGAGGAGGAGCCCCCGCCTGAGGTGACGACCCCCAAACCCCCACCCCATTCCCAAATTTTGGGGTTCAATCCCAAACCTTGGACCCCCCAAACCCCTCTTTTACCCTCCAGGAGCAGCAGGGCCGGACCCCGAGAGGTGACACCCCCGAGAGTGGCAGGTGAGGGGGCTGGGAGGGTCAGGGGGGGTTCAGGTGGGATTTTGGGGGGAGGGGTCCCTGCTGATCCCCCCTCCAACCTCAGGGTGGTCCCCGTGTCCCGGAGGCGCCCCCAGAACCTGGAGGTGTGGAGGGAGAGGGAGAGGAACCGAGACAGGTACGGGGAATTTGGGATTGGGAATTAATTTGGGACTGGGAATTAATTTGGGACTGGGAATTCGGGACTGGGGAGATGAGGATGGGAATTTGGGACTGGGAATTTGGGGATGGGAATTCGGGACTAGGAATTAATTTGGGACTGGGAATTAATTTGGGACTGGGAATTTGGGACTGGGAATTCAGGACTGGGGAGATGGGGATGGGAATTCGGGACTGGGAATTCGGGACTGGGAATTTGGGACTGGGAATTTGGGACTGGGAATTCGGGACTGGGGAGATGGGGATGGGAATTCAGGACTGGGAATTCGGGACTGGGGAGATGGGGATGGGAATTCAGGACTGGGAATTAATTTGGGACTGGGAATTTGGGACTGGGAATTCGGGACTGGGGAGATGGGGATGGGAATTCAGGACTGGGAATTCGGGACTGGGGAGATGGGGATGGGAATTCAGGACTGGGAATTAATTTGGGACTGGGAATTTGGGACTGGGAATTCGGGACTGGGGAGATGGGGATGGGAATGGGGAGGGACAGGGCTGGGATGGGGATTGGGGATTTGGGATGGGGAATTGAAGGGGGGGAAATTGGGACAGGGATGGGGCTGGATTTGGGCCCTTGGGCTGGGATTGGGGGTGGGATTGGGGACAAGGGGGTGGGATTGGGGGTGGGATTGGGGACAAGGGGTGGGATTGGGGACAAGGGGGTGGGATTGGGGGTGGGATTGGGGACAAGGGGTGGGATTGGGGGTGGGACAGGGGACAAGGGCCAGGCCCTGGCTGCTCTCCCCACACCCCCAGCCCCCAGAGCTCAGGACCCCCGGCAGAGACCCCTCGGACGTCCCCGGAGAGGACGGGGGTGACCTCGGTAGGCTCAGCCCTAATTAACAGGGGTCTTAATCACTCCTCTCCCTCCCCTCCCCCTCCCAATTCAGCCCTAATTAACATGAGAATCTTAATGACTTCCTCCCCCAGGACCCCGATGGAGCCCCCGACCCCCAAAACCCGGTACCTCCCTCTCCTCCCTCCTCCTCCTCCTCCTCCTCCCACAGCGTCACCAAACCAGGTAGGACACCCCCTCCCCCCACTGCTCCCCCTCATATCCCACCCCCTTTACAACACCCTGTGACCCCCAAAAATCCACCCCCACAGCCCCCGGCCCCCGACGAGCGGGAATTGATGGCTGAGATGCGCCAGGTAACGACTCAGGAGAGGCAAAAAAACCTCCTCCCCCAAAACCCCACCCCCTTTTTATTTTTGGAGGGTTTAGGGGTTTTCTGTGCCCCCTCTCCATCATGAGGTGTTTTGGCCCCCTTTTTAACCCCCCAGAGCCTGGAGGCGCTGCTGCAGCTGCGGCTGCCGGAGGATTTGGGGGACTCGGAGCTGCTGGGCCGCGTGGCTGCTCGGCTGAGACCCTGGGCTGTGCCCCCCAAAGTGAGTGGGACCCCCCCTCTGACCCCTCCCCTCTCTATCTGTGACCCCCTTTCCCCCCCCATCACCACCACTTTCTTTACTCCCCCAAAAAACCCCCATCCCCAGAGCACTCTGGACACCCCCTAAAATTCACCCCCACATTTTCTTTACCCCCCAAAAAAACCCCCATCCCCCAGAGCACTCTGGACTCCCCTAAAATTCACCCCCACATTTTCTTTACCTCCCCAAAAAAAACCCCCATCCCCAGAGCGCTCTGGACTCCCCTAAAATTCACCCCACATTTTCTTTACCCCCAAAAAAATCCCCCAGAGTGCTTTGGACTCCCCCTAAAATTCACCCCCACATTTTCTTTACCCCCCAAAAAAAACCCCAATCCCCCAGAGCACTCTGGACTCCCCTAAAATTCACCCCACATTTTCTTTACCCCCAAAAATCCCCCAGAGCGCTCTGGACTCCCCTAAAATTCACCCCCACATTTTCTTTACTCCCCAAAAAAACCCCCATCCCCCAGAGCACTCCCCTAAAATTCACCCCCTCAAAGCTTCTTTATTTTATTACCCTCTCCCCAACCCCCAATCAAATCCCTCCTAAAACCTCCCTGAGCCCCCTCCCCCTATTTTCCCCTCCCCAGAGCCCCCATCCCATCCCCCAACCCGGGGTCCCTGAGGTTCCGTTTGGGGAGGGAGGTTGATTTTGGGGGATTGAGGGTGAGGGGTCCTTGTGTCTTCATATCTGATGTGGGTGTTCCCTCCCCTCCCCCTCCTCCTCCTCCCCCAGGTGAAGCCCCCAACCCCCAGCGCCCCCGGGCTGCTCTTCGCCCTCTTCTACGGCCTCCTCATGGCGCTGCTCGTCGCTGCTCACCGCGCGCTCTTCGGCTGCTGAGGGACCCCCCAGAGCCCCCCAAAACCCTGGGGGGACCCCCAAATTCTGGGGGAACCCCCAAACCCCCCGGGGGGAACCCCCCTTTCCAAGCTTCCCACCCCCACCCTTCTTTCTTGTGCCTTAACGCTGGGGGAAACTGAGGCAGGGAAGGGGTGGGGGGGGGAAGGGGTGACCTCCCCCCTTTAATTATTATTATTATTATAATTAATTATAATGAGTTGTGATTATTATAAACTATTATTATTATAAACTATTATTATTATTATAATTCTAATGAGCCATTACTGTAATGAGTTATAACGTTAATTATTATTATTATTATTATTATTATAATTAATTATAATGAGTTGTGATTATTATTATAAACTATTATTATTATAAGCTATTATTATTATAAGCTATTATTATTATAATTCTAATGAGCCATTACTGTAATGAGTTATAACGTTATTATTCTAATGAGCTACTATAACGTTATTCTGAGGATGATTTATTGTTTTAATGAGTTATTATAAGGAGTTATTATAAGGAGTTATTATAATGAGTTATTATAATGAGTTATTATAATGAGTTATTTTAATGAGTTATTTTAATGAGTTATTATAATTATGGCGAGCTGTGACAAAGGACCACGAGCGTAGCGAGTATTTTAATGCCTATAATTAATTAAGTGTAAATTAATTGCTTCTGAGAGGATGTTAAAAAAGAAACACAAAGGATGACCAAAATTTATTATAATTAACTATTATTATTAAAATGACTCTATTTTAAACTAGGATTATCCTCTTGATTATTATAATTAATTATAATAATTACTGTTCTAAGTATCATCACACAGTTCCCCCCCCCCAAAATTACACTTGGTACGTCCCTGTCTCTGTGTGACTTTTGGGGGCTTGAGAGTGGTAAAACCTGGGGGGTCGTCACTAGTTTTGGGGAGGGGTCAATCCCACCCCTCCCCCCGCTGCTCATCTGCTCAGCTTTTTGTGTTTTTTGTCCGTTTTTGCCTTTTCTGTGCCCAAAGGAGGCCTCTCCTCCCCCACGCTTTGCTGTGCCCCTCCCTAATTAACCACCCCCCCTAATTAATTACGCCCTTGCCCCAGCAGGTGCTGGAGGAGCCGAACCCGGGGGGATTTTTGGGGGTCCCCCCACCCCGGGACCCCCCTTAATTCCAACCCCCACCCCTCAACGAGGCCCCGCCCGCTCCGCGCAGACCCGAGCGCTCTGATTGGCTGGGCGGGTGAAGCCGCGCTGGGCGCCGCCATCTTTGTTGAGGGCAGGCGGCCATTGCTCCGTGCGGGCGCCGCCATCTTGGCGAAGGGCAGGGAAGGCCCTTTCCCCCCCCGGGCGCCATTTTTAGTGAGGGCAAAGCCCCCCTCCCCAACCCCGAGTGCCCACGAAGGGATTTTTTTTTTGGGGGGGGGGAGGGGGGCACCTTAAAAGGGGATTTCGGCTCGAGGCGCTGTTTCTACCCAATATAGATTAAGATCTCGCCATAAATCTCTCATCAAAATAAAAACAAAACCTGGTCCTGGCGGAGGCGGCCGGGCGGGGTGGGGGGAGCCCCTCACGATTTGGGGGTGGGGGGCCCTGATTGAGGTCCCTCCCCCATCCCCCTATAGGAAGGGTTGGTGGTCAGGTGCCTGATGCCCACCTGGGGTGGGGGCAATAAAAGGGGTGTCAGGGGTGGGGAGGGGGTCAGGAATGCCCCCACCCTCCCTCAGCCCCCTCCTTACCACGAAGGGGTTGGTGGAGGATTTGGCAACGTTGAACCCACCAAAGGCGACGCTGGGAGGGGGCAAAAAGGAGGTACATCAGTGGGTACCCCAAAATTTACCTCCCTATTTTTACCCCCAATTCTTACCATCAGCCTGGAAGGGGCTGGGAACCCCAGGCACTGGGGGGTGTTGAGCGGCACCTGAAGGAGGGGGACACAGAAATGGGGTCCCCCTGGCCTAGGGTGGGTTTTGGGGGTGGGAGGTTGGAGGGGGTCACTCACCGGGGCCGTTGCTCTGGAAGGGGTTGGTGGAGGGTTGGGGGGTCACGAAGGGATTGGTGTAACCTGAAGTGGGGAGGCACAAAGGGGTCACCCTGGGACCCCTCCTCACCTTTGGGGGTCCCAAATTTGGGGGTGGTGAACCTCGACTTACCCCCTGTGGGCGGGGCTGAGGTGACCCCACCCTGAGCAGCAGCGATTCCTGTGGGTGGCACAGAGAGACCCCCAAAAACCCCCTGGGACCCCCCACAGAGGGACAGAACCCCCCCATAAGCCCCTCACTGGGGACCCCATAATTGGCCACATTAATCCTATGGGAGCTCTGTGGCTGGGAGGGGACCCCAACCCCCCCTGGGGGTCCCAGGCGTTCCCAAATCCTTCCCCACGAGCCCCACGGGGACACCAAACCCCCTCCCCAACCCCCCCCAAAGGAATGGGGGGACCCCAACTCCCCCCCTTCCCATTAACCCCCAGAGCCCCAGGGGTGTGTGGGGACTCCCAAACCCCTCCCCAAACCCTGCCAGGGTGACCCCAACCCCCTTTTCCCGGGAGTCCTGGGAGGTCCTGGGGTACCTGTGGCGGTGGGGAGGGTGTGGAAAGGGGGTCCAGCCCCCCCAAATGTGGCTCCGAAGGCATCGAAATGGGGGAAGGCAGAGCTGGGTGGGGCCGGGCCTGGGGAGGCTCAAGAGTCACCCCAAAAATCCCCCCTCCCACCCACCCAGGGCTTCAGAGCCAGCGACCTGCTGGTCACCAGCCCCATCAGGACCCTCCCAGCCCCCCTCAAACCCCCCCAGCTCACCAGGGAAGGCGGTGAAGGTGGGTCCCAGGGTGGGGGTGGCAAAGGGGTCCCCCCCGATGTCTGCCAGGAGGTCGGTGCTGGATTTTCGGGGGGGCTGGGGGGGTCTTTGGGCGGCTGGGCGGGGGCTGGAGGGGGGGCACACAGAGAAGTCAGGGGTAGAACAACCCCCCCTCCCTGGGTACCCCTAAAACCGGTCCAGTCTCACCCGTGGCAGCGTCCCTGTGTCCCCCAGGAGCAGCTGGGGGGGCTCCGTGGTGCTCTGGGGGGGTTTCACTTGCTCTGGGGCCACGTACCTGGCACAGGATGGGGGGGCACAATGATGGGGAGGTGCCCACGCCGTGCTGCCTCCCAGAAAATACCCCCCCCAAACCCACCCAGTACCATCTTTTCTTCTCGTATTTCTCCTGCAGGAACTCCTTGACCTTCTGGGGGTCCCGGGAATCCGGGAGCTCCGAGGTCCGGGGGTCGAAGGTGCCGAGCCAGACCCGCCGGCAAACCTGGGTGGGGAAAGGAGGGGGGGGAAAAGATGAGGTGGGCGGGGAGAAAGGAAGAAAGGAAGAAAGGAAGAGCCCCCAATGCCACCCCTTTGTCACCTCATTGCCCCGCTCCTGCAGGAACAGCACCTCTGCCTCGCTGAACGTCGTCATGGAGATGGACTTGACGCGGTGCGGGGGGTTCAGCCCCCGCCTGGCAAAGGGAATCTGGGGGTCAGCGCTCGCGAAACCCCCTAAAAGGAGGTTTTTCCTCCTTAAAAATACCCGATTAAAAACAACCAGCAAAACCCACGTGCTCGGGCCACGCCCCCTTTTCCCCGATAAGCCCCGCCCTTAGCGGACGCAGCCAATCAGCGGCCGAGATCCCATCGTGGCCCCGCCCACGCGCGACCCCGCCCTCCCCTGACCCCGCCCCCCCCCTCGCTCACAGCGCCCCCGAGCAGGCGGTGCACACGAGGCTGCCCACGCTGATGTCCACGTAGGTGACGCCGCGCTGGCCGCACTCGAAGCAGAGCCGGTTGGCGGGATCCGCGCTCACCAGCTCCCGCACCCGCCCGCACCAAACCTCGGCCTCCGCGTCCCGCCCCGCGCTGCCCCTGCGGCCTCCGCCGGGCCCCGCTCCGCCGCCGCTGCCCGCCGCCATCTTGCCGCTCCCGCGAGGCCCCGCCCCCTTCGCCGCGGCGCCGCCGCTGATTGGCCGAGCCGCGCCTGCAGCGCCCCCTGGCGGCCCGCGCGGCTCTTCCCGCCTTTTTTCGTCCCCCTCAGTGCTGCCCCCCCCCATTCCCTGAGGGGATTCGACACCAAACGGCTTAAAAACACCAAACTTTGGGGAAGTTTCGGCGAAATTCAAACAAATTCAGCATCGCCCACCGCTCCCGGCTCGCCGCGGTGTGAAGGGAAGGGGATTTGGGAGGTTTGTCCCCTCAGTAACCCCAACCCCCCCACTCGCAGTGTTTTATTGCCGAAATCCTTCTCTTCTGGGGTGATTTTCTCGCAAATTCTGTATTATTCCCCCTCCCCACCACTGTAACACGAAGGGACGGGAGGGGGGTAGTGGGGCTCAATCCCCTCACTGGGGGCTTTTCCCAAACCTTTCAGCACCTCTTAATGCCGGTGGT